TTCCAATTACATGATGTCAACAAATTTTATTACCCCGTTTTTATTTAAACCTGGACTGCTGCTATATATTAATTAGATAGATTCTCTCTCTTTTTGTTTTTTTGGTACCGGGGATTGAACTTGGGTCCTTGGACTTGCAAGGCAGGTGGTGGAACCACTGAGCTAAATCCCTGGCCCTTCTTGGATTATATTTTTACTTGGCATAAAATTCTAGCTTAGAAACAACTTTTAGCTCTTTGCATTACTATTTTACATAATTTCATTTTAAAAGTTTGCTGACACAGTTTTACTGATATTTCAGTAAAGATAATGTGTCTTGTCTCAGGCAGCTTTAAAAAGTTTTTCTTTATTTTTATCCATATTCCTGTAATATACTCAGGTAGCCTATTTTACCCTGTCATTCATAGGAACATCGTTGAAATAACTCCAGGCCCAGGGAGAAGGTGTGTTGCGGCCTGAATGTGTTTGCTTCTGACAGGCCAGGGATACAAGTGACCTCAGATCTGAGGCTTATGTTGTTGGGACCGCGCTGACTGGTCTGAGTCGGCCCTGATGGGGCCAGTCCAGGGGCGCTTACCCTGCCACGAGGGCGTGTCCAGCCCATAGCCTGCTTTTTTGTTGTTATGACAAAAATATATACATTTTTAAACAGGAGGCGTCTGTGTTTTTATTTATTTATTTGATTTATTATTTTTGGTGCCGGGGATCAAACACCAGACCTTCTGCTTGTGAAGCAGGCGGCGGAACCACTGAGCTAAATCCCCAGCCCTGACAAAAACATTTTTTTTTTTTCCGGTACCGGGGATCGAACTCAGGTCCTTGTGCTGACAAAATCATTTTTAAAGGGAGTTCTACTTACCTATGAGTGTGGCAACTGTAGTGCATATTGGATACGTTGCCCAAGACTATCCCTCTTCACTGAAAACACAAGGTGTGCCACCGGTTGAACATGCCTGGATGGAGCCCCCCGAAGTCTCATCCTGAGGCGTGTGTGTTTTACTCGGTCGCACACCCCCGTCACTCCCCAGCCCCGGTCACCAGCAGATTGGGAACTCCCTTTCATTCCCCATCCCAGGAGAACAGCCATCTCACGGTCCTGAAGCAGCAGTGACCCTGGGAGAAGCATTCCGGTGTTGGGCCTGCCTCTCTGAATTACTGGATTTCTTGTCTTAGATTCTGGCCTTGTGTGGTCTTTTTCTTTTGAACACCTCATAAAGCCTTTCTTAGCTCTAAGAAGTCTTTTTTAATATACTGTCCAGTCCTGGTTGTTCTCACCAGGAGATTGTGTTACCTATTCTACTGGTGGAGACAAAAGTCTTAGAATTGTACTTTTTTGTTAAATAGTTTCATAGTTCTTTGCTTTTGGGCCCATTACAATTTTTTTTTTGGTACGGGGGATCGAACTCAGGACCATGCCGTTTTGAGGCAGGTGCCAGAACCACTGAGCTAGATCCCCAGCCCAATTCCCATTTCAGTTTTTTATCGATGGTTCTTATTTATGTCTTGCTTATAAATAATTTTTTTTTTTTGGTACTGGGGATTGAACTTGGGTCCTTGTGCCTGCGAGGCAGGCAGCGGAACCACTGAGCTAAATCCCCAACCGCTTATAAATAATTTGAACAGCTGAATGAAATTGCCAAGAATTGTACTTTAAATAGGGGCTCAAAGGCTTATCTGTCTCAGTATTTGAATTTTTGATTCCTTATTATTTTCTGATTCAATTTTAGCATTGCTTTAAATCATGAGGCTTTTTAAAAATGAAATTTGTGAATTGCATGGTGCTATATGGTTAAAGTTGGTAACAGGTGTCTTTTTTGCTAGTCTGTGCACTGATTTGGCACTGGGGTACCTGGGTCTGTGTGGCTGAAGTTTGCGGGAGACGCCATAGCTGACTTGCCTCTGGTTTTTGCTGTTGCTGGAGCTCGTGCTGTTAGTGTTTCTGCAGTGGTCACCTCTCACCTGCAGGTTCACTCTGCGTCCTCATATAAATGGAAAATTGTAATAGAGAAACAGACTTCCTGTATCTTTATTATAGTGCATTATGATTGCTCTATTTCTTATCTACTGTCATTGATGTCTTGCCATGCCAAATGTACAGTTCAGCTTTATTCTAGTATGTCTGAAAAATACGCTGTGTGTTGGGGAGGGTTCAGGGCCACCCAGGGGGGCTCTTCTGTAAGTAAAGCTTGCACCCACGTGCACATTCCGTGAAAGTGGCGTGAGTTTTCTGATGTACACTTTCTGATTTCTAGGACACGTTCTTCAGGAATAACAAACTCCAGGAACGCAAAGAGGAGCCGGCCGACCATGGTGATTCAGTGCTCAGGATCAGCACCATCGCCTCAGCCATCGCAGACGCCTCAGTCAGCACTGATCCCTCCCAGTTTGCCGCCATGATGAAGGCCCTGAGAAACAGAGCCAGAGGCGGGGCGGCTTGGGAGCTCGGGGAGCGTGTGTACTGTGCTGAGTTGTCCCGTCGCTCACCCGGTGACTTGGAGAGGAGTGATGGCTTCGGTGCCTTTGATATGGAGAAGTACCTCACAAAAACAGAAGTCAGTAGGTGTGAAGCTGGCTTAGAAAGCATGTCAGGAGCTAGCCCGTTGGACGTTTGGAATTTATCTTTGCCCGAAGAACAGACTATTCCGGGTACCCACACGGTCAGCTCTTGTGCTACCAGTGTGAGTGTGCAGGAACCAGGAGAAAAAGCGGCAGCTGCCTTTTATGGTGGAAATGGAGAGAGTGAGAATCAGGACTCCTTCAGAACCACAGACTCTTCAAATTCTGCTCTTACAGATCGGAGGGAGAACGAGCGTGCAGCAGTGGACAGGCAGACGCCCGCCTTTGACAGCGCTTCACCAGACACTGGTTATGGTGCGAAAGCTGCCTCAGTGTCCACTCTGGCACCGAGCATTTACGCCTCGGTTACGAGCCCCACAGGAACACCCCTTTGCCTCGTGGAGGCGTGTGAAGAAACACAAAATCGGAGGCAAAAAGAGGGTGACAGCAAAACAAGCAGCGGTGACACACACGTGACTTTTGAAAAACATTGCGTCTCGCCCAGAAGTGTTGGTAAGTGTGAGTAATTGCCTGCGTCCACAGACCTGCACAGAGTGTTTTCTGTTCTCACTGGAAAATGTGCCTTCCCGGCAGGCTTGAGGAACACCTCTCCTGAGCGTGGCAGGGCTGGCCTGGAGGAGCAGGAGCAGGAGCAGGAGCAGGAGAGCTTCCGGCCCTCCACTCCCCCACTCAGCCACTCTTCACCCAGCGAAGGCTGCAGGGCAAGTCTGTCGGGGTGCGTGCTCTCCCGTGATGCAGTGTGTGCTGTGTAGGAAAGCTAGAAAGAAGCTTAAAAGACAAAAAGTGCTCAGTCTTAGGGTCATTTCTCAAAGGTAACCATTGTAAACATTTTGTGAATTTATGTTTTTCTTGTGCAGATTTTTGTACCCTGCTATTTTGAGGAAAGTTTTTTGAGGGGGTCACATTTTCTTGTCTCCATTTGTTAGAAACACACTTGCAAGTGTTTTGATACCATTTAATTTCTAAGTCCAAGATTCAAATTTGAGTTTTCTCTGTGTGTGGATTGCCTAGGTGAACATTCTGAACTCTGGAAAAAAAAAAAAAAGTTGATGTAAAATCAAGCCAAGTTAAGAACTGAATTAAATAGAATAGTGTTCAGTAGATGAGGAAACTATCTCCAAAAACAGTGTGACCTTATTTCCTGGCCGTGTGCTCTTCTGCTCTGTGATGGTGCTTTTCACCTCTCTTCCCGTGTCCGGGCCGAAAGCCCTAGGACAGGTGCTGCAGAACAGGATAAGGTAGAAATAATGTGCGTGTGCACATGCATGTGTAACACGCATGCACATGCTACAGGGATGTGGGAGTCTCAGATCTGTTGCTTCTCATTCTTCTTTTTTTACTTAACATATCATGAATATCGTTGTGAACCATTGATAGCATCTGTCAGCCTCGCTTCTTGTATTTTTGTCATGCTGGGAGTGGAGCCCAGGGCTTTGCACTTGCTGGGCCAGCACTCTACTGCTGAGCTGTCCTAAGAGCTTGGGCTTTAGTGGCTGCAGAATGTTCTGTTATAACCTCGATCCTCCCATAAGAGAGCTTAGATTTCCACTTGTCATGGATAGCACTGTGATGAAATACCCTTTTTGTGAAATCTTTATCAGTAATTTTTTTCTTGAGGAAACATTCTTAGATGCAGAACATTTGGCTTAAGAGGACTCTTGCTCTGCTGAAAGTCACCCCACTTTGTGTTTGTGTGTATTTCTGTCAGTGCATCTGACTCTTCCGTTGCTTTCCTCACCCCCATGTTTCTCCTTTTCATCTTTGCTCTTTGAGGAAAGGAAATTGTAATGCTTTTGTTCACTGCTTCATATTAAGTACTCAGTAAATTTTTATCGAATGAACTGTTAGATGTCTGTATATTATATTTATTAATAAAAATGCTGCATTTTCCTTCTACTGTAGCTTGCCAGATAGGTCACTGAGTAGGAGGAGACAGCTTGTAGGTAATTAAGTGTAAACAGTGAGTGCCTGCTGGAGCTGCTTCCCAAGTGAGGGCAGGCAGCATGATTGCCGGTGTGGATGATGGTGAGTAAAGGGTGGAACCTGACACTGGGCTCTCGCTGTCTTTCAGGGGTGCTTCAGAGTCCCTTAATTCGGCAGCCTGTCCCCAGAAGTCCCCTGCTGAGAGTGAGCTGTCCCGGCTGGCATGTTCCCATGCTGACACGAGCAGACTGACTTACGTGTCTGAACCAGAGAGCATCTGTCCTGCCTCAGCCACTGACAGTCCCCGCCAGGTGGGCCACACTTGGACTGGCGCTCAGGCCGGCTGTGGGTTGCTCTTTTACCTGTAGACTAGAGAGAGACAGAGACGGAGGGAGAGAGAGAGAGAGAGAGAGAGAGGGAGAGAGAGAGTGCATGTGTGTGCATGCTCGTGTGCTGGTCCTGCTGGGTGGGCATGGGAGGGCCAAGAGTTTCGGTGTCGCCCCTAAGAGCTCTGTTGGTGCAAGGCACGCTGTGTAGTGAAGTGACGTGGGTGTGCCCTGAGGATTCCGAAGAGGTGATAGACCCTGATGGCAGGGCCAGGTGGCTCAGCAGAGGAGCACGAGGGGTTAGGGTGCGGAGGCCTCAGTTAGCACAGCGATGTAGAGTTAAGCAGGGAGGAAGCCAAGGGACAGCCGGAGGACGGGTGGACGGATGAGGTGGGAATTTGAGCTGTGCACTGTGCTGCAGGCGCTTTGAGAGTGAGGGTTGCTGCAGTGAGTCTTACATGCGGGGCCAGGGAGTGGCAGTGAAAGAAGGCAAGACCAAGTGCTGGGGCGGCTCGGCTGTCAGCTTCCGGAGTTTGAATGCTTGCAAGCTGGACAGAACGGGGTCGTGTGGATGAGGTCAAAGCCCAGGGAGCAGACACACGCACCAGAGCTCCTGGCTGAAAGATTGACCGGGCAGGGTTGGAGGCCCTGGGCTCGCATCCTGGGTCTGCTTCTATTTTAAAGGCTTGCTCCAGCTGGGCTTGGAGGAGCAAGGTTGGAACCAGGCAGGTTTGACCCAGGGCTATTGTCCTTCAGGTCAGAGAAGGCGGGGCCTGTGCTGAGGTCGGGAGGGAGCAGCTGTTTTATCATGTGTGAACGTTCAGCTTTGCAGCGAGCTGAGCGGCCTGCTCTGTGTACACTGCACAAGGCACTCCACCGCACTGCTGAGCGTGTGCTGCTGTCATGGAGCCCCACATTGCGAAGGTCTGTCCAGTGAGGCCAGCTTCTGAGGTCGCTGGATGTCGAGTCTGCTCCTGACATGGCTAGGAGCCAAGTGAGCCTCCTGCCACGTCCCCAGGTCCCTGACTTCACACCTGCATTTTCATCTGTGAGGAGCAGTGCTGGGGGACCGTGCCGGTTACCTGGTGATGCACCCTGAAAACGTAAATTTTCACTCTTATTAATAACCAGCAAGTGATCTGGTCTCGGGCTGTCAATACTTTTATTTCTAAAGCTTCAGCCCAACAGAAGTGTCCAAACCTAGAGCCAGGCCTGATCAGTCGGGGTCAGGATGTTCCTGAGTATAAATGCCGCCTGGTCCCTCCTGCAAGCCGTTGGTGTTGCCTGCAAGTTGTGCATGAAGAAGCACGCATGTGAGCCCCAGCCAGGACTGTTACTCACTGCTGCAGACAGCAGGCCCACACGGGCTTAGAAACTGGAGCAGGCTTGGCTCACACACAGCCTGAAGTGTGTGGCCAGCTGTGGACGCCAGTGGTGTGGGGACCCTGGGCCTGTGCTGGGTCAGCTCCGATCCCATGTCCTCGTCAGTTGGCAGCTGGCCTGTCCCTCATTCCTTGTTACTAATTTATATAGATTTTTTTTTTTTTTTCGTACCGGGGATCGAACTCAGGACGTTGTGCTTGCGAGGCAGGCAGCAGCACCACTGAGCTAAATCCCCTGCCCAATTTAGATTTTTATTGTAAAGTTTACAGAACTAAGTCTCTGAAATTTGCACATTACTCGACTCTGGTCATTCATGTAAGGTTTTTGGGTATCACTAGTATATGTCACCCATTTCTCTTCCTCACACTATAATTATCTTTACAGAACAGGGAGCGATGTTTTCTTATGTAAGTCTGTGACTTTTTGTTTTGTTTTGTTTTGTTTTTTGGTACCGGGGATCGAACTCGGGTCCTTGTGCTTGGCGCACCAGGCTGTGAAACCACTGAGCTAAATCCCTGGCCCAAGTCTGTGACTTTCACCGGTGTCAGGCTGCTTTTCTGTGTGCAGGCCAACTCCTCAGGAGTAGTGCAGTGTGGATCTCCTTGCTCTGTCCCTTGGTTACACCGCTGTGTGTGTTATCTGTGGATGACTCTGAACACTTGTCACATGCAGAGCGAACTGGCCAGTGAGCTGAGCACCACCATCATCCGCAGCAGTCCAGTGCCCCCCGAGGAAGATGCAGCACTCTCCCTTGGGCAGCGCGGGGTCCGGAGCGAGGCTGCAGCTGCTTCTCTGGCTGGCGGGCCTCGGGACACAGAACCTCACTCCAACACGAGCCAGGACCCTTCCTCTGTGAGCGGAGAGCAGTGGGAAGCCCGGGAGGCAGTGAGGACGTCCCGCTGCGGGAGATGCCAGGTCCTGGGGCAGCCAGGCCTCGGCCACTGGGCAGGCCCAGCTGCTCCACAGCCCGCGGACGGAGGCCAGAGGCCAGCCTCTGGCGAAGCCCGCAGTGCATCTAGGGCCCAGGCTCCTCATCGGAGCGTCCCCACATGCCAGCCTGCCCCCGCCACTGCACTGCAGAGCGCGTCCTCTGTGTGCCCTGCACTCTGGGCCGGAGCCCCTCTCGCCACAGCTGCCTTGGCCCAGCAGTGCATGGGGACGAGTGTCGCCCTGCCTCCTCCAGGCCATGCAGGCAGCGCCCTGGTCTGCAGGCTCCCGGGCTGCCCCCCTTACCCGGCCACGGCAGGGGAGCATGTTCAGAACCCTGTGGCAGTGGGGCTTTGTCTAGGGCCGAGTCCCACCTCGGGACTGCTGGGCCCCTCTGCCCTCGGCAGCCCGTGTTCTGATGCATTCTGCCAGCACCTCCTCGGCACAGTGCAGCCTTTGCCCGCGCACCCTGCCCGCGCAGCCTGTGGGACTGAACACTGGAATTCAGGAATGGCGGCAGGGTTTGGTAAGGTGCTTTTTCTCTTATTGTAGCTTGTTATTTATTTATTTATTTTTTGGTACTGGGGATTGAACTTGGGACCTTGCGCTTGTGAGGCAGGCAGCAGAACCACTGAGCTAACCTCGGCCCTTGTAGCTTGTTATTTAAAATTTGAATTTTCTCAAATGGGCCACAAACCTAGTTTGTTTGAAGAAGGTATTGGTTGACCTTATTTTTTTTAAGACAGCCTCTTGCTATATAGTTTAGGCTGGCCTTGAACTCACTATGTAGACCAGACAGGCCTCAGATTCACAGCAATCTTCCTGCCTCAGCCTCCCAAGTAATGGGATGAACACCTTCTCACCAGCTTGAACCACTGGGTACATACACGATTGTCCCAACTGGTGGTAGAAGTGGTACAGTCATACATGAGACAATCCTGCAAATACCACTGGAGGTTCAAGCTGCCCGGCAGTGAGACATAAAAGTTATGGCCCTGTGGTGAATGTGTTAAGGCGTGCACCACCATGGCCTTAATGTCTTATTACTTCTTTGTCCGTATTGAGACCGTACTATTTCCAGGCAGGGGTCCCTGAAGTTGGTTTAGAACAGTGCTGATACTTAGGCGGGGGGACAGGCCCCTGTCTTCCCTGTCTCTTTGGCTCTGTACTTGGATTTTTTGGCATTCTTTTAACTGAGAAGTGTCCAGTGCAGGGTGAGGGAGCGGGTGCTCCCGTTGGTGGGGCTGTATCTTCCCTGGCAGCCATCTTTGCAGCAGAGTGGGGCCTAGGCTTTTCCTGGCCAGCGTGTGTAGTCCGTGGAGTGCTGTCTTCCTGTCTCATACCCTTCAGAGTCATCGTGCAGTTGAGGATGGGGAAGATCAGTGATGGTTTTCAGAATCTGAGCAGGCAGACATCTGGAATGTGTGCTTCTCTGGGGGCTTTTTTTTTGGAGACGGGGTCTCGCTGTGCAGTTCAGGCTGGCCTTGAACTTGCTATGTAGCCCAGGCTGCGAGTCTCAAACTCGAAGCAGTCATCCTGCTTCAGCCTCCTGAGTGCTGGGACTGTAGGCCTGTGCTGCCATGCCCAGCCTCACTGGGATCTTTTTCACTTTGGCAGTGGATTTTGGAGAGAACAAAGGTGAGGTTACCAATTGGAAGTGAGAGCACAGGATTGATTCGCTGTCACTTGCGAGTCCCACCAGTTTTAATCGTTCTGGTTTTCTTGGCTGGATGGAGCAGGACCCTGCATTTCTGGGGCCTGGGTTCCCGCAGGCAGCCACTGCAGTGATTCCTGCTTGCCCAGTGGTACTTTGCAGCAGGTGTTTGACGAGTACGTGTTTTGCCTCTTCTTCTACAGCAAGCGTCAGGGTGCCGGAGGAGCTGAAGTTCCCTTCCACTTGCTGCGTGGGCATTGCCTCGCAGACCCGCCTCAGCGTGCTCAACCCCTCTGACCGCTGGCTCCAGGTCAGCGTCGTGGCGCTAAGCGTCAGCGTCAATGGTGAGAAGGTGAGAAGGCCCTGCCCACATTGCACTCTGCGAGGTGCTGCTCTGTCCCCACCTGCCTGCTCTGCCCCTGCCGCCTTGCAGCTGTTCCTCTGTCCCCTGCCCAGGGTCTTCTCAGGCCCCCTTTGTTGCAGTACTTACAGTGTCAGAAGTGCAGTAAAGGCCAGAGATGCAGCTCAGTGGTGCCACCATCTGCCTCATGAGTGCAAGATCCTGAGTTCAATCCCCGGCACCCCCCATGCCCCCCAAAAAGTGAAGTTCAAATGAGCTTATATTTTCTGTCATTTATTTATTTATTTAGTACCAGGGATAGAACTCAGGACTTTGTGCTTGAGAGGCAGGTGCAGTGCCACTGAGCTACAATCCCTGGCCCTTCTGTCAGTTATAATTTATCATTGACTACTATAGTTTATTGTTATGTATTTATAAAATCCTTTCAATTTGCTTTTAGCGCTGTTATTTAAATCACCAAGTGCTCTGAGTTTCTGGCCTCTACTTGCTGATTTTGACTTTATTAAATGTGATTGACTATAAGTCAGGAAAAAAAAGAAAGAAATGACACTTTCTTGAGGCCCGTGTTCATTTAATAAGCAGAGTCTTTTTGACTAATTTATGTGGTCGTATTCTTACATAATCTTTTGAAATTCCTGGAAATGCAGTTTTAACCAAACTCGTATAGCCGTGGTCTTTCACATGAGCAGTTACAGGTGCTGTAACTCTGGACTTGGATCTACTCCCTTCTTCCAGCTAGGAAGGAGGCTGGGCAGCTGCATCTCTGTTGCCCTGGCCAGAAGCCTTTACTCCTGGTAACATGAGATCATCTCCACCCTTCCTCTTATTTTCCTTGCTTTTGCTCTGCTTTAAAATCCTTGGGTGATGAAAAGTAGGTGATTAAAGGAAAGGTTAAGGTTGGAAGGTGAGATTTGAGGGCTTTGGGATCCTCTAGGAGTTGTATGTGGATGTTGGGAATAAGATCCCGTTTCAAGAGAGGAGGGCCAGAGCGATCAGCACCGTGCAGGTGAAGCACTTCGTCTGAGGGAGTCTGGTGTGTCACACCGTTGACAGTGCCGTGTAGGAAAAGTGAGTGAGATAACCAGGCCTGTTCTTTTTTTGGTACTGGGGATTGAACTCGGAACCTTGCGCTTGCAAGGCGGGCAGCGGCACCACTGAGCTAAATCCCTGGCCCCACTAGGCCTCTTCTAAAATAGACCAGGAAGATGCAGTCTTTATGTAGCAAGGAAAATTCGGCTTCTGAAGCATGTTGACCAGTTATGCTTTATAGGCAATGGATTAAAAGCATGAATGCTTTTGAAGAGGTGGAGTCTGGATTGGGCCATGCATCCGGCTGGGAAAGGGACCCTTCACCTGGTGATGCTCCTTGATTTTCGGAGTAAGCCGTTTCTTAACAAACCATGTGGCTCTTTTTTAAAGGTGGATCTTTCAACATATCCTTGTTTAGTTTTCAAGAATAAAGTCATCGTAAGACCACATGCAACAGAAGAGATAGCAGTGCTTCTCTTACCCCTGGATCCCGGGCTTTTCCGATGTGTGTTCAGGGTTGCTTCGTGGCCGTTTTCGGCGGACCCTGAGACGATCATGCAGGCAGAAGCCTTGGCAAGCAGAGTTGTCCTTACTGCCATCGCCGAGAGCCCTGCTATTGAGGTAACATTTCTAAACAGGGCTTTGTCCTTCCTGGTGTTTTAATCCAGGTTGTTGCACCTCAGAAGTAGTATCTGGGAAAATTGGGGTCAGGGCCTGTGTTGTGCTGTCCCCAGTGTGACAGCTGAGCGAGTGTCACGTCTGCCCCACCTTAAGGTCAGGCCCTGTCTGTGGTGTGTTTCTGGCTACTTATGATCCCTGAGGTACTAGTGCTCTGCTGGTTACTTCGGCTGAGTCTTCTTGGTTATTTTGTTCACATGGTCTTTGATTTTTATTTGGTGTTTGGAAGTTTCGTGAACTTACATCCAGTGTGGCTGCTTTTGCTCCGGGACTGTGAAACTGTCCCCAGAGGGTGTGTGGCTGAGGAGCACAAATGAGGGAGGCACCAGGGCCCCCCGGGCTTTGTTCCGGGCTGTCTCTGGACACCCACTGAGTCTCTCCTGGGTAGAGTCTGTCCCACCCCAGCCGCACTCTGCCTACCACAGGCTTGAAGTCTTCTCTTCGATAGCTAAACTCTGTCACCCTGGGGACAAGCTGGACTCAGGCCTGCATGGGCCACTGTGAGTCAGCTCTCACTTGCCAGTCTGCCTTTGATTTCCTTGTATTTTATGTTTTGCTAGGGCAGAGGGGGATATATATACATATACGTGTACATAGACATATGCATATGTCTATGTGCACAAACATATGCATATTAGTATCATCCAGTGTTTTAAACTTTTACTGTGTCTATTTTTACATCACTTCAAATACCTTCCGTCGATCAGAAGTTTGGAGTAACTGCAAATGCCGTGGTATTCATGATGGTTTTGAAGGGGCCCGAGGAGTTGTTGCTCTTTGAAGGAGAGCCAGGTGTTTACCAAACTGCCTTTTCAGAGTGGCGACAGCTGAAGCAGTGTTTTATTCTGTAGTATATTTAGGTGCATAGACTACTTCAAAGGACTAGTTTAGTGTTTAGTTTTGTAGGAAATAAGCAGTTGTAAAGTAGCCTGGGAGAGCTTAGGTCTGAGTTTACTTTTAGCACTGATTCTTAACTTGTGGCCAGAACAGGTAATGATATGTGGCAAGTGTGGTATTTATTAATGTCTCTTTGGCTTTCTTAAATCAGTTTCTTTTTCTCATATTTAGGTAGAAACAGAAAGGAAAGGTGTTCTTGATTTTGGTGACTTGACATACGGAGGCTGGAAGGCCCTCCCGCTCAAACTGATAAACAGGTCCCATGCCTCCGTGCCCCTCAGACTGAGCATTAGCGCTGTAAGTACCGGCTCGAGGAAGAGCTCGCAGAGGATGTGACCGGGAGGGGCAGGCCCTACTAGTACTCATGGCTCCTTTTCCTGGCGAAAGTCAGTTATGGTCCGGTTAACAGCATCAGTACAGCACCGTGCTGCTTCTGTTCCTGCACAGAATGCCGTAGCCTGGTGCTGCTTCACGCTTTCCAAGGAACCGGTCCCTACTTCCCTGAAAGCTGCTCCTTATGCCGATGTGGTGGCTCAGCTGGCAGCTCCGTCCGTGGTCAGCCACGTGATGCCCGCCAGTTACGAAGGACAGGTAGGCCTCGTGGGTTGACGGGTTCCCTTAAAGCCATCAGACAAATGGACATTAAAACAACACTGAGATCCCGTCTCACCCCAGAAAGAGTGGCCATCACCAAGAAATCAAACAGTAACAAGTGCTCAGGGAAGGGAACCTTTTACACAGTTGGTGGGGATAATGTGGCAGTTTCTAAAAAAACTAGAACTAGAAATTTCATTTGACCAGCTATTCTTCTCCTAGGTGCCTTCCCGAAAGAGTTAAAAACATCATATAACCACGATCCATGCACACCCATGTTTACAGGAACACAGTTTGTAATAGCCAAATCTTGAAAGTGGCCCTTATGTCCATCAGCAGATGACTGGATAAAGATACCGTGGTATTTATACACAATGGAGTATCACTCTGCCACAAAGAAGAATAAATTTGAGTCATTTGTAGGAAAATGGATGCACCTTGAGACCATGTTAAGTGAAATCAGACATACAACTTTAAATATCACATAGTTTCTCTTACATGAAAAACCCAAAGTATAAATAATTTTTAAAAAAAAAAATAAAAGCTAGACCATAGGAAACAAGGAGGCAGACCGTTTGCAAATGGAAAGGGAATCCAGAGATGGAGGGAGAATGGAAGGAGAAGGGAAAGGGAATGAAGAGAGCCAAGATGCGTCACGCACCTGCATCTAACCTCCTAAGACGGCTGTAAGCTTTAAAGGTTGCAAAGATGGCTAAAGGAGAAACTCACTTTGAATTAAAAAGGAAGTTTCCAAATTGTTTCTTTTTCCTTATTAAGATTTCAGGCTTGGGCTGGGGATTTAGCTCAGTGGTTCCGCCACCTGCTGCGCAAGCACAAGGACCTGAGTTTGACCCCAGTACCGAAAAAAAACAAAAAAAGATTTCAGGCTAAATACCAGTGTGTGTGTGTGTGTGTGTGTGTGTGTGTGTGTGTGTGTATAAATATATATATATATTTTTTTGTATCAGGGATGGAACTCAGGACCTTGCACTTGCCAGGCAGGTGTGGTGCCACTGAGCTACATCCCCGGCCCACCAGTGTATATTTAAAAAAAATTTTTTTTTTCATTTTGTAGGATCCAAAATTTCTGATAATTTGGGTTCTTTTCCATACTCCAAAGAAACTAATTGCTTCTTCAGGTAACACATTTACCTTTTTGGGGAATGCTCTATAGCTAAATTAACTACTCATTTGAGCTTATGTCTTGTCACTAAATGTTTTTTGAGTAATTTGTCTTGAATTGTGTGTTGTGTAGAAAACGGGGCAGTGGCATGATCATTTGGGTCAAACTTGCCTAAGTGTGAGATACTCAAGCAAGTGCTCAGAAAACTTGATCTTTTTGCCGAAGTTCCCTTGTGACCCTAGGAGGGTGGTGCTGGACCGCTGGTGGCGTTCTGGGTTAACCAGCTCTTGGCTGTCTGAGCTAAAAGACTGGACTTCTGTAGAGATTCTAGATCCAGCAGAAGAGTTCGTGGCAAGAGTCGATATCGAAGTGGACAGCCCGAACCCCAGCCCAGCTCTCAGCAGCGTGGGTCTCCGAGCAAGAGCAGGCACCGCCAGGATCCACGCCCCCAGGGACCTGCAGGTGCCTGGGTTCTGATGCTGGGGTTTGCTAGGCTGATGTCCCTTGAAGTGTGATTGCTTTTTAAATAACTTGTCTTGTCCCACCTTCTAGACTGTGCATTTGTTGGCCAGTGTGAATTCTGCAGCAAAGCAGCCCTTACCTCTGAAAAATGCTGGAAATATCGAAGTTTATTTAGATATCAAGGTGAGAGCTTTTTTCAGAGCGCTACCAAGCATCTCCCCTCTGCTTCTGTGGGCTGCTGGGCTGCTCACCCTGCCAGTGCCCGGAGGAGCAGGCCGAGCAGCGTGAGACGAGGCCTGGGTGCTCGTGTAGAGCCGCATGTTTGGAAATGAGAAGCAGCTTCTAGGTTAGCTCCTGAAGGAATGAATTGGTCACCCGTGGCCAGGAGAAGTTATAGGAAAGCGAGTCATGATCCACATGCGTAGATGTTGTTTCTGAGACTCATGGGGAGTGAGAGGGTGGTGATGACAGGTGCTGGGGCTGGGGTAGGAGATGGGATTGTTAGGGAGCAGGAAGGAGGCGGAATACCCTTTCCAAGACAGGAAGAAGATTCGAGACGGTGACAGAAAGGAGAAAGGGACAAACGGGACAGGAGAAAGGCGCTGAGACCAGAGTGCCAGGGAGAGCCCTTGCCGGCCTCCAGTTCAGTCATGTCATTGTTTAGGTCCCAGAGCAAGGAAGTCACTTTTCAGTGTATCCGGAGAATCTGTTCCTCAAGCCTGGAGAAGAGCATGAAGTGATGGTTTCCTTTACACCGCGGGACCCCAAAGCCTGTGAAGAAAGGTAATGTGAAAGTATTTGTTGAGACAAATCCATACCCGTCTCTCGAAACAGCACTCACTTGAATGGGCTTCCTGTCCTGCCTGAATGCAGAGCACGCATTCTGCTTCACCACATTCACAGTCCAGCCCACTTAGTCTCTGACTTTGCCTGTTTTTCTTTTTATTGTTAAAAATACTCTTAAACCAGCTGAATAGAAACGAGAACCCAGTGTTTTGAGTATATTCTAACAATGGTGAATAAAAAACATCGAGTTCGATGTTTTCTCCTAGGAAGCCTGCAGGTTACCTTGTCGTGGGTGCATGTCAGACTCCTCTCCATCCTTTCTCCAGGCCTCTGACTGGTGCCCAGGTTGTGGTGACACCAGCTTTCGGTCAGCTGTTATCCTTGACACTTGGGCTGCGTGCACAGGCCTAGCTAAACCAGCCTCTTTTGGGCGGCATTGCTTGTCTGCTGTCGACCCGGCAAGAAAGGGCAGTTGTCAGCCCGCCAGTGCCACACCTGTGCCTGGAAGGCTTGCCCTTCGCTCAGGAGAGCAGGCTTCTTCCGGAAACTCCCTGATGTTCCTCATAAGTAGGCTTCTGGTAGCCCTGTGAGCTTTTCTCTTTCCCACCGTGTAGGTGGACTGACTGCCTCCTCCTCGGTCTGTGTTCCTCCCGGGGTACAAGCTCTCCGAGTGTGAGTGTTGCTGTATCCCAAGCCACTTTGTCTTTTGGACACAGGAGGCGGATAGGAAATGATTGCCTCCGGAATTGAACGAGGACATTTGACTTAGTCTTTTTGTTGCTATTAGGATCTTGAAGATATTTGTGCATCCATGTGGACCTCAGTATGAAGTAGTGTTAAAGGGCGAAGCTGTTTCTTCGGGAAGTCAGACTGTGCCCCCAGGCCCTTGCTGCCCAGATCTTCCGTCCCTTCTGTCCAACAAGCAGTTCCTGGCCTGGGGCGGGGTCCCCCTGGGCAGGACACAGTACGTATTCGCACCGCGGCCTGCAGGCCAAGATTTGGGTCGGATCACTCAGCTGTCTCCTGTGCTGACTGTGGCTGTGTTGCTGCTTTTAGTGTTGAGAGAAAGCTGTCTTGTATTCGTTTAGTTTTCCTATATTGAGTTTGAAGTTTTGAATTTAAAAATTTCCCTGTCTTAAAAATGCATCTCAGAGATAGGTTTCAGTTAAAAAAAAATTAATAAAGCTCTTTGGTGAATTCTCTGCTGACCACCAAATTGAGGCAGGTAAGAACTTGCTTCTGTGGCAAGGTGAGGGGAGTGGTCAGGAGCGTGCGTCCGTGGGGTGGGCGCAGCCCGTCGCTGGCCAGTGAACTGTAGCTCTGCTTCATGTTTGATTCTAGTAAGTACATAAACTATTAATATAGTGATAACTGATAAAGTGAGAGTAAAACTGATGGGATTATGTAGTAGGTTGTCCTTTTACAAAGGGAAAGCTTATAGCATAGCAATGTACGCTTTTACAAACATCAAATCAACACACACTTCTAATTAACAACCTAAGTATTAAACCTGAATGTTTCCTCATTTATATTTTGCATTTTTGTGGTTATCCTAAATGTTTTCCCCATATGTTTATATAATGCCTGAGAGATAAGGAACTAAGGGATGTGTGGCTGAATCTCTACTGCAGGTGTGAAGAAATTTCTTCTTTAAAAGTATAGTTTTGAGCCAGTCATGGTGCACATGCCTGTAACCCCAGCCCTCAGAAGGCTGAGGCAGAAGGATCGCCATGAGCTCAAGGCCAGCCTGCACTATATAATGAGACCCTGTCTCAAAAAAACTGACTAAATAAATAAAACTAGTTTTGCAAGTGTCAGAGGATCTCAGTGGCCCTCCTGCCTTGTGGAATTCATCCCTCTGCTTAGCTCTCCAGACACCACCTGTGCCTTACGTTCCCCAGGCAGCTTTCAGAAGGACACAGGAAGGTGGAAGAGTTAGGGCAGAGATGGCCCTGTGGGAAGATGAGGCACGCTGTGATGCTTGTGCTGTCAATTCCTGCTGGAGAGCAGTGTGCCTCTACTTTGTGGGGTGTCCTGCAGTTACATCTGTGGGATGCAGTGAACCCAAAGCCAACCCAGCAGCCCACATGGCACCACGTACCTCAGGACTGCCTGTCCCAGACACCTAGGCGTGGTGGAGCAAAAACACCTGGGTGGCCACAGCCACGTGGTGGTTGGCGATCATTTAGGTCACTTACAAGAATGGATGGATGCCAGCATAGTGGTGTGGACCTTATAATCCCCTGCCACTTGGGAGACTAAGGCAGGAGGATTTCGAGTTTGAGGTCAGTCTGGGCAACTTAGAGGTACCGTCTCAAAAGCACTGAGGCTGCAGTTCAGTGTAGCATGGCACACAGGAGACCCTGGGTTTAACCCTCAGTGTCACAGAAACAGAAAAGCCAAGGAAAGGAGTGCATGAACCTTTCTCAGCTAGGGCTTTGACAGGACCCAAGTGGTGGTTTGAGGTAGTGACTTGTCTGCAGAAGTGCCTGCGTCCTGGTCACACGTGTGCCATGCTCCTGCGCTGGTTCAGGTAGAGTCAGGCTGGGGCGCAGGCAGGGGCAGGGCTGGACAGCCGCATGCCCAGCAGGCTCCTACTGTCCTCCGCAGCTGAGACTCAGCAGCTCCCTTGTTCTTTTTCTTTTTTTTTTTTCTTTTTTTCTTTTTTTTCAGTTCTGGGAATTGAACCCAGGACCTTTGTACTGAGCTAGATCCTCAGCCCATTTTTTATTACTTATTTTGAGACAGGGTCTCATGAAGACGTTAAATTGCCCAGGCTGGGCTTGAATTTGTAGTCCTCCTGTCTCAGCCTCCTGAAGTGCTGTGAGTACAGGCATGCGGCACCACGCCTGGCCATGTGGTTCCTTTTCAAAGCTAAAAGTTGTGCTTTTCCCTTCAGCATGGTCGCTCTGCTTCTTAAAATAAAAACCACATTTCTTTAAAAGTTAAAAAACAAATAAAAAAGCTTTACCACATGATGTTTCTTCGGGTAAATCTTCCTAGTCAGTGTGCCTGGGGAAGGTGTTTCCCAGGGGTTCTCATAACCAAAGGCCTCGGCCCTTCTTTCACAAGGTGGACAAGGCGTAGGACACAGCTGACAGGGTTAGCGGCTGACTTTCACCTTTGGGTAAAATGGGATCTGCTCAGGTACTCTGTATTCCTAAATGAGGAGAGGATCTGTGTAGCTCTTGCTGCAGCCCGCCGCTGTTGAGTGTCCACTCTGCTTTCCTCCTAACGTTTCAGGCAGGGCTAATTCACCCTGATTAAAGATGGCTTCCCCAGGTGAGCCGCTGAGCTGGGAACCCTTGTTTTCCTGAGAGCACATTGGGCCACGTACTCCAGCAAGGTGCAGTATTGGCTCAACAAATTTCCTCACTGATTTTCACTCATTGGTGATGGATAGATAGAAAAAGAAGATAGGCAGTGTGATCAACAAATACTGAGTGTTTAAATTTAAAAAATTACTACAGTAAAAGACACATTGTCATGAATTCTCTTCAAAATACTTGCTTCAGACACACTTATCCCATTGTTCCTGTCACTTCCTGCAGCAGCTCTGGAGTTCTCTTTCCTGAGTGTCTGTAATTGTGCTGTTGTGGCTGCCTCGATGTCCTGAGTCGATTCAAAATGTTTCTCCTTCGTGGCCGTGTTGACTCTGGGGAGGACCCAGAGTTGCATGGTGCCAGATGTGGTGAATAAGGCTGCTGAGTACACAGGGTCATGTTCTTGCAAGCCTGGCTTCCCATTGGATGGCGCTTGGCAGCAGTGCTCCCCATATTTTTATCACACCTTGTAAATGCACCCATGAAGGGGAACTTCCAGAACTGCTTCAGGAAGGGACAAGAATGATGGGATGAATGTGTTCAGAGCGAGAGGGAGTACTTGGAGGGAGATTAATCACAATGTGTCTCACCGTAATAATTTTTATATAGTTTTTTTCCTTTTTCTTTTTTTTTGATACTGGGGATCAAACTCAGATCCTTGCATTTGCACAGCAGGCGATGAAACCACTGAGCTAAATCCCCGGCCTCACTGTAATAATTTTTTAAAACTCAGACACCATTTACCTTAGTCGCACTCCGTAGGTAGATGTGGATATGCAGAGTAAAGCCTGTGGGGAGCTTCAGCCTGAGAGAGCGCAAGCTAAGAGGCTGCTGTGCTGGGCCGAGGCTGGAGCCCTGTGTTTTCAGAGCCACATGTTGGAGGACAGGCAGTCCAGCCTGCTGACAGGGCCTGCTCGAAGGTCCCTCTCTGGGCACTGTGGTTGGTTTTAAAATTGGCTGTGTTTTTATAGCTGTAGCAACATCCACGGAGGAAAACAACACTCAGTGTGTCGTTGTTTGTAGGCTTCAGAAGCTGGTTTTAAGAAGCAGTTGTGCCTCCACAGCCCAGCACTTACGACTGCTCATCAGAGGGCAGGACCAGGACTGCTTTCAGGTTCGTGATGTGCTTGCCTTCTGTCTGTCCCACTCCTTGCTTTGTAAGAGTTCTTGTTAGTGGTGTTTTTGGTGCTACCTTTCATTCTTTCTCTGTTGTAGCTTCAGAACACTTTTGGCTCAGAAGAGCGATTGACCAGTAACTGTGAGGTTAGAATTGGCCCAAAGGAAGACATTGTCATCTCTGTGTTATTCGCTCCTACTCGATTATCTTGTATGTTGGCCAAACTAGAAATCAAACAACTCAGAAATCGATTACAGCCCGGTGTTAAATTCATGGTAAGGCAATTTCATTACCTTTTTTTCTTCCTATGGAGTTTATTGTGTTACAATTATTGATTTAATGTTGGTAAATTATATACTCTGTTTTTTTTAAGTGTCTAGACCTAAAAACAAATTAAGGAGTGATTGTCAAATTATAAAGGAGCTGGGCATGGTAGCACATGCCTGTAATTCCAGTGCTGGGGAGGCTGAGGCAGGAGGATCGCCACAAGCTTAAGGCCACTATGGGCTACCTAGTGAGTTCAGGGTCACCCTAAACTATATACATAGTGAGACCCTGTCTAAAAAAACCACTCAGTGTGGTATCTTGTGACCACCAATGTCTTCTCATGACTTCCAGTGTCCACTCAATTTGAGATTTCTGAAATGTACCCAGGTTTTCAGAAGCACATCTGTGGACAAATTCAGGTAGAGATGTTTAAGATACTAAATTTCTAAATACATCCTTTCATCACAGAAATATTGTCTTAGTCAGTGTGGTCTGCCTAGCGGAATACCACAGACTAGGTAACGTGGCACTCACAGTTCTAGAGGCCGGGAGTCCAGGAGCGAGGTGCCAGCAGGCAGTGTCTGATGGGGACAGCTCCGCTACACAGCAAAGGTGACGTGCAGGGCCCAACGCTCGGTCACTGTGTGGATTTCCCTTTCATTCACGGGAGGCTTCCGAGATGCTGGTGCTGTCTGCATTCCACACGGGGCAGCCAGCCAGAGACACGTGTCCTTGGCACCCATCTTACCCAGCGAGGGCAGAAGCCGAGTGCGGGTCAGGCCACCTGCCCAGGCCTGTACTGTGCTCCCCAGAGCCGTAGCTGCCAACCGGGGTGGTCTCCCCAGGGAGACGGGGTCGGAGTCACCCCTGGGGCAGGCACAGGGCTGCTGGCACCCCGGTGGAGGCAGGGTGCTGCTAAACATCCTGCAGAGCACAGAAATCACTCAGCCCTGGACTTCACGGTGGTGAGGTTAGGAGACCCTTTGCTACAGCTGTCTTTAACTATTGGCATTGGTTGGGTTTATTGTGTTTAATTGTTCTTTCTTCTAAAACTTTCTACTCAATTTGTGATTTCTGAGGCTTTGAAAAATAGAGTTGGTCCCCCATCTCTCCAGGTTCTACATCTACAGAATCAACCAACTGCAAACAGAAAAATTTAGGGGAAAAATGCATCCATACTGAGGGTGTACAGACTTCCCTGTGTTATGTCCTAATACGCACAAGTGTGAGGGAGCTGTGCAGGCCTCTGGAGGGAGGACACCAGCCACACGGATGACTGTAGCAGGAAGGGCCTGGTGTCCCCAGGGCGGCCGATGCAGGACAGTGCTATGGGAAGACACACGCTGAGGGTTTCAAGACTGCCTCTTCCTGATACTCCTTCTACTTAGCATCACAGAGAATTTGCTGATACGATTCTGGATTAAAGGAAAACTTAGAAACGTTTTTGGCTATCAGAAGTCATTTTGAATGAGAGTGGCTTTGTAGGGGTTTCTGAGCTGAAGCCCTTTAGAATGTGATTAATTTGTTATAAAAGCAAGCAAATTTATGAAGAGCCTAAGTTCAGTTTTTTAAATGTTATTTTATTAGGGAATGCTAACTTTTGCTCTGAAGATCGAACCCAGGACCTCACACATGATAAGCAAGCCCTCAGCCGCAGTGCTGCATCCCCAGCCCTTGTAATTTATTTGGAGACAGGACCTCACTAAGTTGCCCACATGAGTCCTTCGGTCTCGGCTTCCCCCTTAGCTGTAGAAAGTTGTGTTTTGCAGAGTGCGGAAGGTTTGTTTTCTAGCAAGGTGAAGTATTTGCTTTGCCTTGTCAGTGAGAGGCATCTGTGAGCCCAGCTTCTGGGAAGGCTGGAGCCCCTTGGACACAGCCCCAGGAGCACCCAGGCCCAGCAACCGTCAGTGGCTTCTCTGTCGCCAGCTTGCCTGGGCCGGCAGAGCTCCTAGGCTCTTCTCCTTGGCTTTAGCCCCTTCTGTGTGCTTCTCTCCAACACTGGCTTGACCAAGTGCTAAGACTGTGATAAGATTTTTCCCCAGGCAGGGGAATGGGGGAAAAGTAAGAACCACGACATAGCATCTAAAGGTACAAATTCCCAGTGATGAATGTCATCGTATTGTATACCTGAAATGTACCAATAAACTTAGTGAATAAAAAAATAGATTTTTCCCCCCAAATGTTATTATGACAATTTTCAGAATCACTGAGAAGTTGAAATGATGGCACACATGGCACTTGGTCTGTAATTCATGCTGTGCTGTGTTTCCTTCACCACACATCTCACCATCCACCAGCTCTTCTCTTTTCATGCATTTCAGAGTAAATTATAAACCTCACTGGGGCCGGGGATTTAGCTCTGGTTTCGCCACCTGCCGTGCAAGCTCAAGGTCCCAAGTTCGATCCCCGGTACCCCCGCCAAAATATTATAAACCTCAGCGTGTTGTTGAGCAAGCATATTGGTAGTGATCTTTTCACTGTTCCTCTGCATCTAAGCTTGGCGGTTACAGATAACAGTGAGGAAAGTATTCTTAGTACATTGGAAGGTGAGTAACACCTTGTTTTCCTGAAAGATGAGTCTTTATATCATAGTGGACTAAAAATGGGTAAGTACTCACCCAGGCATACAGGCATTAAAGTTTTTAATTGTATTAAATGTTTCTGTATTCTCTTTGAAGTATAATTAAATCTTCTGCTTTCTTACATAGAAATAATTTTGAATGTGTATTTTTTTAGATACCTTTGTCTGGATATGGAGGAACAAGTAATCTTATTTTGGAAGGAGTCAAGAAATTGTCTGACAGTTACATGGTAACAGTGAACAGCTTAGTACCTGGCAAGGAGAGCCGAGCTGTACTTTCTGTCCGCAACACTGGCTCACGAGCAGCTTTCATTAAAGCAGTAGGCTTTAGAGATTATCAGAAAAAAGTTCTGTTGGATCCTAAAGTATTGAGGATTCTTCCAGATAAATTTGTACTCAAGGAAAGAACACAAGAAGTAAGTATAAAAGTCTATCCTCTAAAAAAAGTAAGCTTACATTTTTAGGTTAATAATTACATATTTTATGGCCAAAAGCTAAAGTAATTTTGGAAGGAATGTAAGAGTAGAAACCCTGGTCTAGCTTTCTTGGGAATGCATTACACGCGCTGTGTCGGTACTGAATGTTTAGGTGCGTAAGGCCGTGTGTCCAGACCAAAGTGAAAATGCCTGACACTTGCTCCTGACCCCTTTCTCGGCAGGATATTACTATCATATACCGCCCTCCAGACCGAGGGCGTGACCACAGAGCTTCAGTGGAGCTGTCAACTGTGTACTTCTTTGGTGGAGATGAAATTTGCCGACAGCAGTATCGAAGGTAGATTTTTGTATCTTAGAATGGAGTATGTTCCGAAGTATTGGTGCCCATAGTGAAGGCTTGAACAATATGTGGACCTGGAAGTTTTAGAACCTGTCTCACTATCAGTGAACTCCTAGGAAAAAAGTTCCTGGTTAAGACTGTGAGACCGATAAGTTGCCATGAAGGGAGGAGGCAGGAATGAGACGTCCCCTGCATTTTCTTGCCTGTGCTTCTTTTCTCCCCACGCGTACCATGCCTCTTTGCTTTTACGTGGTAGGAGCATCGTGCTCCCTTGTGGGGCTGTGTCGCTGATGTGTTCTTGAGGGTATATCAGGTGACAGTAAACCACTACCAAAGAAAGAACTCCTGTGAGCCGAGAACCACCGAAGGATTAAAACCCTCCTAATCTGGAATATTTCTGGGAATGCTGTGAATTACTTGGAATGTTTATCAATGTGTTGGATGTTTTATTTGTAGCTACCTTTTTTTTTTTCCCCAAATGCAGAAATATTTATTTTGGTTTCCTTCATTATTTTTGGAAATTCTGATTTGGTTTATAAAACATAGAAATACCCAACACTTAAAGCAGGCATTCCAAATCCCAGTGTGACAAAGTACTGACTTTTTGTGCAATTAAGAAAACATAGATGATGGGCCGGGGATTTAGCTCAGTGGTTTCGCCGCCTGCTGCGCAAGCGCAAGGACCCGAGTTTGATCCCCAGTACCAAAAAACCCAAAAAAAACATAGATGATGGGCTGGGGATTTGGCTCAGTGGTTCCACTGCCTGCCTTGAAAGCACAAGGTCCCGAGTTTGATTCCTGGTACTGAAAAAAAAAGAGTACATAGATGAAGTTAGGCTACCAATTCCTGGTACTGAAAAAAAAAAAAAAAGAATACATAGATGAAATTAGGCTACCAATAGTGTTATTACAATGGCAATTCTTGGTGTAAGCCCTGTTGTGCTTGTATAATACATGCACTGTCACACATCCAGCAACAGTGGCTGTAAATGTATAAATGACAGTTCAGCCAGATGTGGCAAAGGCTTGCAGTAAAGTGAAATGCTGTTCATTTCCCAAATTAACTTTAAAAAAAAATCCCTTAAGAAATTAACCTTAGGAAATGGTTTTTCCAGATTTGGGGGTTTTTTTGTTTTTTGTTTTGGGGGGCGTTTTTTGGTACTGAGCTAAAATCCCCAGCTGTTATTCCGGATTTCTGCATCCCAGAATTTGGGCTTGTCAGATAGATTTCGTAGAGATCGAGTAGTTTATACTATAAGACAACTTGCTTCTTACCCTCCATTTCAGTGATCACCTGCCTGTGTGACTAAACCCTTAACCTACTGAAGACATGTACTTTGAGAGTTTATTTGGGGGGGCCACTTGTAGCTGCTTAAAGCATGTACTTCTGTAAAATTTAATACCTCCGATTTACATGTAGTTTTCTATGCTGCAGTGCTGGCCAACTTAGGATACTGACCTAGGCCTAGGTGTGGTTTAAACATATACGTTCTTTGGCGGTACATTCCGGATTCTTTTACTATAACATTTGGTTTCCTGGACCAGAGGACCCAAATCTAAGCTAGCTGAAGCTCCTGAGTTCTGTTCACTGGGGCTCTGCTGTGTTATTCTGCTAGAGAACTTGGGAAATTGTTTCTTTTAATTTGTTCAGACTCATTGGAAACTTTAAACAGAGGGGCTAATGATGACTTGCTTCATGATATTAGAAACAGCCAGATGTGAGGAGATACCTTTGAATCTGGCTCTGCTTTTCCTAAAAGAAGCTGACATTTGCAGAAATAAGATTACCAAGTTTCCTGTTTGTTTTTTTCTTTCTTTCTCTCTACTAGGATATAAAAATTACTGTATTATTTCAGAATGCCTGTTTACCATAAATTTATAGTAATGAATTTCCTTTGGTGGTTAATATCTAAATATTATAGAAATATTTATATTTCTGTTCTTACATCAAAATTCTCAGGAAGAGGACAGATATATGTGGTTTTGGTTTTTTGGGGTTTTTTTGTGCTGGGGCTCGAACTCAGGACCTTGTGCTTGCGAGGCAGGTGACGGAACCATTGAGCTAAATCCCCAGCCCTTAGATATATGGTAATTTAGATATTTCCCTCTGATGTCTTCCATTTTTTTAATATGTTCTTTTTTTCCCCCTGAGATAACTATCTGAAGATGACCAAATAATTAAAATGTAAGAGCTGGAAGGAATTTAACTTTACTCCGCTTTCTACTTTTACACTAGTGTTCTTGCTTTGACATTGTCAAACTGATAATTTTACTGCAATATATAACTTTCAAGGAAACTTCCAAAACAAGTTTTCCTTTTAAAAAGAACTTATGCCTGGATTTAAACACAATACACTAATGTTAATGTGCAGTGGGTGGGATTTGCCAGATGCATCAGTGAAGGCAAAATTAAGGTCATTTTATTTGTCACGTCATTTTTGAATGAAAATCTCTCCTGGCAGAGCCGTGTCTCAGAATCCAGGGGTTGTCAGGCGGATCCTTCCAGCACATAGTGTGCTGCACAGCGTTGACTTTGCCGAGGTGTTTCAGGACGAGCTGCTCGTGGATGAAGGTGAGCGCCTATCTGTCTTCAGCCTTCTGGGCTGTCGGGCTGTGGCGTGGGGCGGCAGGAGCCGTGTTTGGGCCTGGCGCCAGCTGACCGAGCCACAGCCCTGCTGCGTGACTGGACGAAGCTCATCCTGAGGCGCGGTATCCTTGTCTCTCGTGTGGGAAGAAGTGATGTCTGGCAGATCTTGCTTTGCTTTCTAAATGCATTTGATGTTAGTAGTGTTAGCACACTTGTCTGTGTGTGCTTGTCACCAGGAGGTAGGGCTGGTCACTACTAAACTCAGGTCAGTCGCTACTTCAGCCTGAGTGAGTGAGTGAGCTCATGCTTGCCTGGAGCTTTCCAGGTTCTGTGCTTCCTGGAGGGCTTGTGGGGATGGGATGAGGGTAAATGTGTGAAGCTTCACTCCCCCAGACGGCCAGCCCTGTGTCCGTGACACATTCAGATACTGGATAGTGGATTTTTGCTCATGTAACATAAATACATCAAGATACACCAATTGTGTAAAACTATATGCCTAAATTGTTACCATAGTATTGTTTATAGCTGAAGAAAGTGAGAAGTAATCTAAATGCCTGAGAATAGGGGTGGTTCAATTATGCAAAATATTTTTAAGCCATTAAAACAATATGAATCTATATTAAATGACATTAAAATAAGAAAAACATTTTAAGAGAATGCTGATTTTTTGCTGGGCATGGTGGGATACACCTATAATTCCAGTACTTAGGAGGCTGAGGCAGGAGGATCTTCATAATTTTGAGACCAGCCAGGGTTAGTGAGTTCGAGGCCAGCTGGAACTACATAGTGAGACCTTGTCAAAAATACTTTTAAAGGGGAGGGGGTATCATTTTAAAATTTTGCATAGTAAGATCTCATTTCGGTAAAAATATCTCCAAAAGTAAGTTGGTTAGAGTGTCACCAGCACAGTATTTAGTGGTTATGTTTCAGGTGATAGCTTTTTCCCTCGATTTTTATTTTGCATCTGAACTACAAGGTGAGGCATGAAAAGGGTATTGCTGTAGGGTAGTCTGCTGGTTTCAGTATTGCAGGCTCCAGGGTCCTCTACACCAGGGCCGGTGTGTAGCGGTTGAGGGGTGTTGGGCCATGTCCGGAACCTGAGACCTCTGCACGGAGCCGAGGGAGAGTGAGGCTGAACTGTGCTGGGACGGTCACGTGCACACTCGGGAGCACACACAGTCTGCAGGGGCGCAGAGGCTGGCACCGTGCAGGGCCCGCAGCTTCCCTTCCCAGACAGTGGGCACATTTGCCAGGCTGCACGTGCACACTCATCCTGAGCCGCTGTGTGGGGGCTAACAGTGCTGGTTCTGCGAGTGTCCGTGAGACTCCTAACCACTCTGCGCCTCAGCTCATCTGTGAGGAAGATGCAGCCTTACCTACCTCAGAGTCCTAGATGAATACAAAGGGACCAGAATAGTTCCTGGCCCACAGTGAGTTTCATATGGATGTTCGTTGCCATGCATTTATCTTCAGAAACATTCTTGTTTTAAGGCTCACAACACCCCCTGAAGTAGACAGTTGTTCCAGGTTATAGTGGAGGAAACCGAAGCTCAGAGAGACCCATGAGCTTGCCAAAGGTCACACAGCTCCTGAGCGGCAAGGGTGCTTTGCTTGCAGACTCAGAGCTGAGCTGAGCATCCATTCCGGACCTCGTGCCCACCCATAGTCGTGACAGTCAGGGTGCCACCTGCCCCACCTGGAACGGTTCTGCCCCGTGGCTGGTGACACGTAACTGTCTGGTGCTCTGTGTTCTTGTGTGGAGTTCATGTATTTCACAACATTGTTTTCTTTTTCAGTCTATGATCTTCCTCAGCGGCCTAATGATGTTCAGCTCTTTTATGGAAACATGCGTAAAATTATCCTTTCGGTACTTGGAGAATTCCGAGATTCCATTTCCAGTAGAGAATTTCTTCCGCCTTCTTCCCAAGCTAGCTTGGAATCCAGAAGGTAAAACCAATATGCAAGCAAACATCCTTTCACCAGATTTCTAGATTATTTGATTCATAGTTGAGCAGATCTTTTTCTTCCCTCCACCTTATTTTCTTTCAAATGTTTATTTTACCTTTATTTTTTAGCTTAATTGAATCATTTCAAACTTGGAGGAAAGTTTACAAATGGTACAGAAAAGCCCTGTAAGCCTGTGCTCGGGTTCCCTAGTGGAAACACTTCGGCACATTGACCTTGTCGGTCTATGTGGGTGGACTTTTGCTGACCCGTCTAAGGTCCCGGGCTGATGACTGGCACGCCCTAGATCTGCTGCAGGCTTCTCCTGCCCCTGCCCAGGAGAGGGTGTGGATGCAGAGTGAGTGCTGGTGTCTGCACAGTGGCTCACTTTGGGAGGGCCTGGTCTCAGAAAGAGGAAGCCAGAAGCAGCTCTGCATGGGTGTTTGTGACATGGACTGGGTGCCTCCGTGTCTCGCAGGCTGAGAGCATGGCAGGAGGGAGGGACGGGAATCTGTCTGCTGATGATGGCTGAGATGAGCCAAGCTGGGGTCCACCACTCTGCAGGAGAGGCTGGACACTGCATAGCTAAACTCCAGTGTGTTATGTGCTGTGGTGATTACAAAAACTTTTGTTTTTATTTATTTACTTACATAACAATACTGGGGATTGAACCCAGGACCATCACACTGAGCTACATCTCCAGCCGTTTTTAAAAAGATTTTGTGGGCCGGGGACTTAGCTCAATGGTTTTGCCGCCTGCTGCACAAGCGCAAGGACCCGAGTTCGATCTCCGGTACCAAAAAAAAAAAAATGAAATTTTGTGAAGACGCTGAATTGCTCAGGCTGGGCCCTGACTTGGGATCCTCCTGCCTCAGCCTCCCAGAGTGCCAGGATTGTAGGTGTGCAGCAAAAACTCACTTGAACTACAGTCTTATAATCCAAGGCTCATTAGAAAACATACAAGAAAAACCTGAACTAAGCTGCCCTACAGTGTCCCACCAGAAGACTCCCCTGCTTCCATGCGCGTGCGGTCAGTGTTGGAAACCAGTTATCACTGTGCAGTGACAGATACATTGTGAATTTTGTTTTTCTTCTTAATATTTTATTATTTTATTATAAATCTTTTCAGCAACGTCCGAGGCAGAAGTCAAGCAAAAATAAGAAAAAGAGGGAAATGACTGCATTTCTAGTTAAAAGTTTGTTATGCTATCCAACCTACATTCTTCACTTTTCTTCCTTTCAAAGTGCTGGCATTGAGCCCGGGGCCCGGCATGTGTGGAAGATTTTCACTCGCTGTAAACTGCGTGGTTTACATGTGATGCCCTTTTAGTTTTGTCTTAATGTGTTTAGGTTTATGCACTTTATACAAAGTACATGAAACAGTGGCTTTTCAGCATTTTTAGCTTCTCTCTGTGCTGACTGTAACTCTTCCCAGGGATGAAGGACTGTTTGGAAGGCACAGTGGCAATGTCTCTCTGGATGTCCTCCCCGTCAGAGGTCCGCAGGGCTCTCCCTTTCCCCCGAGAGCCGCCCGCCTGCATCAGGCCGCCCTGGCCTTGGGAGAGGCGTGGGCTGTGCAGCCCGAGCACGTGATCCTGCTGGTGCCCTCGGCCCGTGAGTATCTCCCATGCCCAGCGGGCCCTCATCTGTGCACTTGGATGGGGCTGCCCAGCAGCCCAATGGCCACACAGCCACTCGCCTCTTACTCCTTAGCTCGTGCTCGGCGGCCAGAGCAGAGCAGATGGGGCACACATCTCAGCTTCTAGCAGCACCCGTCCTAGCTTTCTGTTCTCTTGCTTGTTCATCAGTGCCAGTGTCTTTGTAGTGTCTAAGATGTGTCTAACAGAATCTGAAATTCTTAGAATTGAGCAGTTGAAAGAGCAAGATAAGCCGGTGCACTGGGGATTTATTAAGGGTTTGTCCTTTTACTCATATTTCTTTTTCACTGTTGCTGAGTGTGCATAACGTTTACTCATCTGACACAGTAGGTGACAAGGCCAAAACCGGGCATTTCCAGATTGTGAATGACTCTGCCAGGACACTGAAGTTCGAGCTGTACTGGCCAGCACACTGCTTGACGGTCACTCCGGAGCATGGGGTTGTCCCGCCAGAGTGAGTAGCCTCCCGCATGGGTCTCCCTTGGACGCTGTCACAGTGACCTCTGTCACGCAGCTGGTTCCGGGGCTGGGGTGCCGCTTAGTGGTGGAGCACTTGCTCACACTGCAGAGTGAATTGACAGATGGCTGTTTGGTGATAGTGGAGTGGCGTGAGCTCCAGGCCCATGTGGGAGCGGAGGTCCCTCACTGTGAGGTGCTGTCCCCAGAGATGTTTGGACACATTTGAGTGGCATGGCGCCCGGGAGCAAGGACGCCCCATGGCTTCTGACACAGCTGGCTGTGCGCAGCGGCCACAGCCAGGAGTGAAACGGGCTGTGCACCGAGTGCCGGTTCTGCCTTCTGTTTTCCCAGTTTGGGCTGTGTGTTGCTGGTTTTCTGGAGGACATTTTTCCGTCAGCCTCCTGACTTGGCTGTGTCCGAGCTGTGCTCTGGCAGCCTCAGGGCCAGCCACCCTGCAAGCTGGCCAGTGTACGCAGCCGGCTGCCACAGTGCCAGGAGGACCCCCTCAGCAGGGAGCGCTTCCTGCACTGGGCGTGCAGCTTTGCTGGACAGCGCAGAGCTTTACTTTTGCAAGATGCCAAGTGTGTGTTCTAGGAGAGTCTGCTTGCCTGAGACAGCAAGGTGTGGCCAGGTGCCCCGGGAGGCCCCGCAGGGCTGCGCTGTCCACTGCCCTGAGCCTCAGGCTGCTGAGTGCAGTGAGTCTTTCCCATGGCCGTGAACAGAGAGGGCGTGGCAGGACAGGCTCTGCAAACACCAAGCAGCCTGCACGCTCAGCTGGGAGCTGTGGGAAGCAATCCCAGCCGCCCTTCTGACCTGTAACTGGAGATTTCCGAGTTGCAGATCCGGTCACCTTAACCGCATTGAAGAAAACACTGAGATCAGTAGTAGGGTGTGAAGAAACAGTTTTCTCTTCATTTCCATCTCCCCGTTCCCCCCAAATCTCAGTTCTCTTGTGCTGTGATTGAGTCACCTCTTATTACCAGTGGCTCCTTTTGCTCCAGGCAGTTTTATTTCAGATTGCTTTTGAAATGCTGTTTTTACAGCATGTTTGTGTACGAGCTCTGCCCGTGGCAGGTGTGGTCTGTGTCCCCCTGGTGCTGGCCGTGGGCTCTGGACCGAGGCGGGATGAGCAGTGCGGGCCAGTGCGGGCCAGTGCGAGCTGCTCTTGCCGCCCCGCCGCTGAAGGCCATTGGTGAACAGTGCCTGTAGTGCCTCCTGTTGGTCTGTTCTGAAAGTACAGGCTCTTTACGGCTTTTATTATTCTTTTCTTAAGGAGTAAACAGCAAATTCTTGTGAGTCCTAATCTCTCCTTATCTGCAAAGCAGTCGATGTTCCCGTGGAGCGGTCTGGTCTACGTGCACTGTGACGATGGGGAGAAGGTACTTGGGGTCTTCTCTGTGCTCCTGCCCTGTGGCCTCAGCTCCTGGTCTGTGCCGCTCCCCAGCCCGCCTTCCGGGTGCGGCCAGAGTGGAAAGCGGGTGGAAGCCACTGCTGATTTATGGAATTTCCTTGTGAGAAGAGAGGGAACAGAGTCAGAGATTGGCTTTCTTTCAGATCTGAGCAAACTTTTATTTCTAACTTCAGTATTTTATTGTTTGGCATTTCCTTTCTTTTAAAAATTAGGCCTGTTTCTTTTTAAATGGTTGCTGTATTTGTGCCTTACCTGTTTAACTTGGCTTTTTTCAGAAAATTGTGAAAGTTCAAATCCGAGAAGATTTGACTCAGGAAGATCTTTTATCTCATTTGGCCTCGGGCATGTTTGGAATTCTTGCCCCGGCATCTGAGCCTCCTGTGAGTCACTGGACAAAACCTGCGACAAAGCCTCCTTCCACGCGGGTGCAGATCAGAAGCAAGACCATTACTTTTCCTGCCACGGCCCCTGGAGAAACCTCAGGTACTGTGTGTGCCGCAGGATGGTGCGGGTCAGACGGCCCACACGGAGTCTGGGCTTGTGCGCTTCATTTTCAGTTCATTTATTCAGGGGCTGCTGAGGACTGAACCCAGGGCCTCCCTTGTGCTAGGGAACCTTCCACCCCCAGCTCCCGAGGTTCTGTGCTAGTCCACCCAAGTTGGGTAAGAACAAACTCCACGTCAGGAGAAAATCCAGGCCTCCTTGGTCAGTGATTTCAGCAGAGGGCTGGGTTTGGGAGCTTAATCTTTTCTTTCTTTTTTTTTTGAGATAGGGTCTCACTGTGTAGTCTAGGCTGGCCTTGAACTCACTGTGTAGCCCCAGCTGGCCTTGAACTCACAGTGATCCTTCTGCCTCAGTCTCCTGAGTGCTAGGATCATAGGTGTGTGCTGCCATGCCTGGCTCCTGGGAGCCAAATCTTGAAATGTGAAACCTGGATGCCGAATCACTGTGTTCAGAAGGCCCCCAGCCCTGACCAGGGCTAATAAGGTGGCAGTTAGCAGATGAGGGAGAGAGGAGAGAGGTGGAAGATTCATGCTGAGGCCCTGGAGAGGCTGCGTGGCCACCCTTGTGACCGTGTGTGGTGCGGCCACTGTGACTGCCCCCTGCACAGTGGCATGGATGCGGTGTGGCCCAGGGCTGTCGCCATGGGGCTCTGCATTGTCGGTGCTCCACACAAGCCCGGTCATCCCTCCCCATCTGCTTCCTGTCCTGTCCCCATCTCCGGCTGGCCGTGGGCACCAGCTGCTTGCCTCCTGCTGCTGGTGTCGCCAGCCCCACTTTCCCGCTCTGTGGGCCCCCAGCCTTGCCCCTCTGGACAGCAGCCCCGCCCGCTCTTGGGTGTCCAGCCTGCTCCACCCCACGCAGGTCCCGTAGACTCCGAGCCCACGCTTGGTCTCTGCTGCTCCCACCCAGCCCAGAGTGGCTCTGGGCAATGCTCCCCTCGTTCATGTGCCTCTCCCTTGGAGCTCCGTCTCCGCCCTCCTGGCTCCGCTCGCTCTTTCCCTGTCGTGCCCTGCCTCACGTGGGGAGCAGAGAAGCCCAGAGCCTGGCTGAGACCAGCGGCCATCCGCCCGTGTCTGTGCCTGCCCTCTGCCCGCAACCGCAGCGTCCCCTCCCCCGAGCCACCTGTTCCTCGCAGCCCCTTCCTGCCGCCAGGTCATGGAAGAGCCCCGTCTCGCCTGCCCAGGGCTCGCTCTCTCCCTGCCCCATGCTGCTGGCCCCTTCCTCTGTGAATGCTGCCTCCTCGGGGTGCCCACAATGCTCCTGGGTTTCCGCCTTGCTGCTCTTGGATTTGCCTCCTAACTGCCTGTATCCTGGCATCCAGCCTCTATCCCCATGCACCCCCTACGTCTTCTCCCAAGTGGCCGTGTGCTCCGGCGAGCTCACCTACTGCCCTGTGGCATCTGTGTGGCCCTGGCATGGGTGTCCTGGGAGTGATGTGTCTGAGACAGAACCCACTTTAGCATCTTTGCTTTATGCTTAGGGTAAAAGCCAGGCAGAGTGTCTGGCCCTGATGCTCTAGACAGCCCACTGTTCCTGATGGACCTCGATAGGGGCCCTTACGGGGGTCCTGGGCTGTCACCGAGGACTGTCCCACTGAGTTGTGCCATGTGTGCCTTTCAGAGAGCTGTCTGGAGCTGGAGAACCATGGACCCACAGATGTGAGGTGGCATGTGTCGTCCTTTGCCCCGCCATACGTCAAGGTCAGTCCTGCGCCCTCACGGGGTGAGAGTCGAGGCGGTGTCTGCCCCCAGCATCTTCCCCGGTCTCCCTACAGGGGGCTGAGTGGTGAGCGTCAGAGAATTTGTGTGAAAATTCTGCTTGCTCTATTTAAGTGTGTTCTACTTCTGATTCTTATCTGAAATAACTATTTTGAAAGTCAAGAGGGGCTTTGTTACTCAGCACTGTGTGTGCACACAGCTGGCTCCTCTCCGTGCTCTAGAGCTACCCAGACAGGAGGTGGGGGGCCCTTGCCCTGTCAGCCACTCAACACTGCTGTGTTTAGAATGCCAGGGCCTCTCTGCCCTAATAGCCTTGAGGCCTAATACTAAGGAAACATGCACAAAGGACAGTTACGGGACGAATGTGGAGGAAAAGCCCACTGCTGCTGCACAGAACATGGACGTGCACCTTCCCCAGGGCCCGGGAGTGCTGATGACAAGATGGTCTCTTGCTGTGGCCGGGGAGGCTGTATGACTGCCACACTGCCTCCGTGTGGGGTGACAGCCAGCTCAGCCCTGACGCCCCGGGAGGGGTGGTGTCTGGGGCAGGTCCGCTGGCCTTCATGGTTCGGCAGCTGTGTGAATGTCTGCCTTGCAGGGTGTCGATGAAAGCGGAGATGTCTTTCGAGCTACCTATGCAGCATTCAGGTGCGCTCCTCTTTCTGGCACGCTGGGAAGCCACGGGACTCAAAAGGTGAGCTTCAGCCGAAACACGTGGGCAGAGCGTGGCGCTCTCCGGCCAGGGCTCAGTGGGCAGGCTGCCCAGCATCCCTGTGGCAGTGCTGGTCTTGGAGCCAGTCTGCCCTTGGAGCAGTGCTGTCCACTGTGTGGCAGTGGGAGGGGAGGTCTTGCTGTGAGGAACTTGCCAGCCGCATAGCTGCCGCTGCAGGGGCCACAGCACACTCCGCTGGTCTAGCTGACAGTTTCTCCTGCTGCACGGCCAGAAAACCTAGCAGTGGCCCAAACTACTGGCATTCATGGTGGCAGCACTGCAGTGTCTCCACAGGCAATGGAACCCTCCAGCTGCTGCAGGCCTCTGAAGTCTCAGTTCCTTTCTGGACTGGCACGGTCCCTTCAGAGCCTCCTGGTGGCCCCTGGCACCACTTGACTTCATTAACTGGCTTTTCATCCTGCTTGCAGGTGCTCATAGAAACTGTCACACTTGCATGACACTGGCCCATTTAGCAGACCTTCGGACTTGAGATCTAGAGCAGAACTGTGAGCGCATGGCTGATCAGGAGTTGGTGTGCAGCTGCGCCAGTGGCAGTGGCAGTGGCCACAAACTGTGCTCCCTGGTCTGTGTAACAGGCTGTCAGCTCCTTGCTGCTTTTGAAAGACACAGTTGTACAAGTGTGGCTTATCCCATCTCCCAAACCACAGCAGGAGCAGAGCAGAGCAGGGCACAGACTCACTGCTCAGGAAAAGCCCGCCCAGGGAGGGTTACCGCAGAAAGACTGCCTGGGCGGTGGGACAGAGTTGCCGTCTTACAACAGCGGGGCTCCCCAGTTGCGCACAGACTCAGGACAACCCCAGTCAAAACCCCAGATGGGCTTTTTAAAAACTAGTGTTTCACTGTATTTCTTTTTGAAGTTGAGAACCGATTTTATGAATATGATTCATTTGACTATGCAGGGAACCCAAAGAAAACAAAACAACCTTGAAAAACAAAACTGAAGGACGCACATTGCAGGGTGATGGCTGAGGCAGAGGACTGCAGGCCTGAGGCTGACCTAGGCAACTTCTTAGCAGCCCCCTCAGAATAAAAAGGCTGGGCATAGGTCAGCCACAGAGCACCCCTGGGCTCAGTCCCCAGCACTGGGGAAATAACAAACCAGGGTACCCTAACACAGGGTAGATACAGAGTTCCATACATATTTGGAAGGAGGGCCGGGGATATAGCTCAGTGGTTTCGTTGCCTGCTGTGCAAGCGCAAGGACCTGAGTTCGATCCCCGGTACCAAAAAAAAAAAAAAAAAAAGTATACATATTTGGAAGGAAATTGAGCATCCCAGAATGAATCCTCATACCTACAGTCACTTGACATTCTTGGTATGGGTACTAAGGTAATTCAGTGGGGAAATGTTTTTCAGCAAATGGTGCAGGGTCAACTGGATATCCAGAGGTAAAACAACTAGATAGGTCCTGAGCTAGCACCATATAATAAAATTAACTCAAAATGGACCCTAAATGTAAGAGAAAAGGGGATAAAGCTTCTAGAAAAATAGGTTATGTGTTGGCTTCTTAGGTGTGACACCAGTACAATAAAGCATAAACTACAAAAGAAATAGCACCATTAAAGTAAAAAGACTATCCACGGGGTGGAGGAAATATTTGCAGACATATATATTTGACAGATGACTTGCTTCTAGGATATGTAATGAACTTTTACACCTGAATAAACAATCTAGGTTTTTTTGAGAGAGTCTGGCCTCGAACTCACAGTGATCCTCCTGCCTCACCCTCCTGAATGGTGGGATTATAGACATGAGCGACCATGTCTGGGTGATCCAGTTTTTGTGTTTTTTTTTGTACTGAGGATCAAACTCGACCTTGCGCTTGTGAGGCAGGTGCCAGAACCACTGAGCTAAATCCCTGGCCCCGGATCCAGTTTTTAATATGAGCAACTGGGCATGCTGGTGCATACCTTAGCTACTTAAGAGGCCGAGGCAGGAAGATGCCAAGTTTGAGGCAGCCTGGCCATCTTGGAGAGACCCTATTTCAAAATTTAAATGAGAGCGGGCCGGGAACTTAGCTCAGCGGTTCCACCACCTGCCTCACAAGCGCAAGGTCCCGAGTTTGATCCCCAGTACCAAAAGAAATTTAAATGAAATGGTGGGGTGGCCTGGGGCTGTAGCTCAGTTGCAGAGCAACTGAGTGGTTGCTCTGCCGCAGGTAGCACTGGTGCTTGCCTGGTTGGGGCAGGGGGCTGTTTCTGGACAGAACCCTCCTCTTGGGGCCCTGTGCCTGACGCCACTAGTACTTCGAAAGCATATTTCCTCCAGAAAAGCACTTGCTGTACGTTTTGAGGGGTGTGTTCTGTAAAGCCTTAAACAGTAGTACCATATGTTTTGGAACTGGTGTAGCATTAAGCCCCCTAGAAATAGAATTGTTCAAGTTCTCTTTTCACCTAGTGGGACAGCTAGCCCGTGTGAAAGCGTTTGTTCCCTTGGGGTCTGCACACGGAAACTTGGAGCTGGATCTGGCACCTGCTGTCGCTCAAGGTCTGGTCCGAGGGTCTCTTCCGCTGTGTCCTCAGGTCTCCGTCACCTTCCTGCCGAGAGATCGAGGGAATTATGCCCAGTTTTGGGATGTCGAGTGCCACCCTGTTAAGGAGCCTCACTTGAGACACACGTTGAGATTCCAGCTCTCTGGACAAGTGAGTATTATGCGGGATTAAACAAATTTATGCATATTAAAAACCTCATGTGACCAATGCTTGCATATGCAGAATATTCCTGGCACCATTTCAGTTTCTCTCATCTGTACCCCTTAATCTTCATTTTCCTGCCTGTGTGTAGTAATTGGCATGTTTGAGGTCTATAGGGTGCATAAAACCAGTGGTCGTGTCAGTGGTGTGAAATACACGTGTGCGCGACTGAGATTAGCGCCCCTGAATAGCGCTTGGCTTCAGGGCATTTAGACATAGTGTCTTTAAAAAGCAAGCGGGGCCAGGGATTTAGCTCAGTGGTTTTGCCACCTGCTGCGCAAGCTCAAGGACCCGAGTTCGATCCCCGGTACCAAAAAAAAAAAAAAAAAAAGCAAGCGGGTCTCTGCTTCCTGTCTCTTCTAAGGTGAGCAGCGTTCCTCCGTGCAGCTCCTTCTACCCTGCTGTGAAGGCCTTGGAGCCAGTGGAGCAAGGGCTGTAACCATCAACAAAAATAAACGTTTTTTAAATTTTTGGGTATTGAATATTGTGTCTCAGTGGCAAGAAAGCAACTGAGACATCCAAGATTTAGTCCATGCTTGAGAACTGCATTCAACCGCACGAGTTGCTCATTGCGGAGTCGAGAGTGTTCCATGCTGTGGATGTACCGCCACGTTCCTCTATCTCACTCATCTACCCATTGGGTTTTCTCGTCTTTCGGTTCTTGTTAGAGTAATAAAGCTGCTCTAAGCATTCCACAAAAAAAATCAAGCGGTAGCATTTTGGTAGATAAATGTCCTCCGTTTCACACGCATGCTCTTTCTCCACAGAGCGTCCGAGCAGGGGAGGAGCCGCCTGCCCACGCGGCCACCGCCACCGGCAGCCTGGCGAGGTTGGAGGGCAGGCCTCGCAGACGCGCCGCCTCGGAGCCCGCCCTCCCGCCGGGGTACGCTGCGCCCCGTCCCGCCCCGAGCCCGAACGAGCAAGCGCTGGGGGCCCCGCGCTGTCAGAGGTGCTCTGGCCGGTCTCTGGCCGCAGAGCTTAGGTTTGAACTTCTGTGTGCTCACCCGCTCTGTCTCTCACTGGTTTCATAACGTTTTCTAGAGGTCATCTATTTTCTCAGGTATCTGCCCTACCGTTTGTTTCTTTTTATTTAGTATTTCATTATATGAACCCCTTTCTCTTGGCGTTAGGTGTCTTAGAGTTGTGGAGTGTTAGAAACTAAGGTGCTGTGAACATTATTGTATGTCCGTTTCTGCGGGTGTTTTATTTATTTGAGGTAAAAATGCCAATTTTTCCCCTAAATTTCTGGGTCACATGGTAAACGTGTGTGAAATAAGTTGCCAAGTAGTTTTCCCAAAGCAGTGGTGCCATCTTACATTCCCGCAAGTAGCATATGAAAATAGATTCGTAGTCTTTAAAACGTAAATTTACAGTTCCCAGCTACTGCTGATACTTAAGTGGCCTACTTGGTAGAAAGGTTTCTTATGACCCTAATTAATAGTCGGGTGCAATTTAATTCTGGAAGAAGATGCTTGGCAGAAAGACGCCTGCCAGTGCCGGCTGGCTGCTATGCAGACTCGGCCGTCTGTGTCCTAGCAGGGCGGGAGCCTTCGGGAGGAGCTCAAGCCCTGCCAAGAACATGTCCCGGGCGCCGCGGAGGGGTCGCCCTGCCCGCCCTGTCCCTCTTCGAGCCGGCCGGCCTGGGGAGCCGCGGGGGTGGGTGTCCGGAAGGGAAGGGCCGCCCGGTGTGCGGGTCGGCTGGGGGCCCCGGCCCGCGTGGGCGCCTGCACGGTGGGCGCCTGCCGTGGGAGGGAGCGGAGCGGCGGGAGGGCACCCGGCCCGGCCGGCCCAGCCACCGCCCCCCCCCCCCCCCCCCCCCCCCCCCCCCCCCCCCCCCCCCCCCCCCCCCCCCCCCCCCCCCCCCCCCCCCCCCCCCCCCAGGCCGCCGGAGCCCCCAGCCAGCGCCAGCCCGCGAGGCGTGTACACGCCGCAGGACGCCTACACCTTCCCGCCCACGCGCGTCGGGGAGGCGCGGGCGCTGAAGGTCAGCGTGCGGAACAGTTCCTTCGTGACGCGGGCGGTGAGTGGACGCGGGCATTGGCCTCCGAGCCAGGGTCGTGGGGGACGGGACGTGTTCGCAGTTCCCGCGGCTGGCGACCCTCCCCTCTAAGTCAGGCTGCTCACTTTCCTCTTGCTGTCTGCCTCGGGAAGGGACGAGCGAGGCCGCGCTGCAGCCTGCCGCCTGCCGTGCTGCCTCGCGTGGTCGTGGGCGTGCCGCTGAGCTGAGCTGTCCGCTCCCTTCCAGCTCAAGTTCGTGCCGCCCCGGGAGCCGTTCCACGTGCGGCACTCCAGGTACTCCCTGAGGTGAGCGGCCGGGCCGGCAGGTGGGGGGCGGCTCTGGGCTCCCGCTCCCCCGATGGACGGATGGACGGACGCCCCTCTCCCTCTCGCGCAGGGCCCGGCACTACATCCACATCCCCGTGCACTTTCGGCCCACGGCGGCGGGCAGCTTCCAGGCGCTGCTTCTCATCCAGACGGACGGGGGCCGGAGCACGGCCGTGCGGCTGAGCGGCGAGGCCCTGGAGGACGACTGACGACTGACGCGCCTCTCCGTGCCTTGTGCCTCGTAAACTGGTGGGGCGCGACTAAGTCCTTCCGGGACCAGCCCTCCAGGCCCAAGCCAGCGTATCACGTGTCTCCGCCCGGCACCACTCACCTCTGCGGTTAGGCGAGCTCTGTTTTTGCATTATGGTATTGTGAATAAATGTGGCATTTATTTTAATGCGGTGCATCCAGAAATAAATGTCCCTCTGCACTGACCGGCTCACGCGTCGTGCCAGCCGGAAGGAGTAAGGGGTAGCACCTCGCTGGTCCTCCGCCTCCCTCGCCTAGTCTGGTCTGGTCCGCTCCGTGCCCTCCGTCCCCACTTCGGCGGCCACAGAGAAGGAAAGTACGGGTGTGGAAGGGGCCTCGGGGCAGCCGCCCGTGCTGGACCTCGGTCGGTGGGGCCCACGCAGAAACACGGAGCTGGTTTCACAGGTCAACCGGTGGCTTCCCTGTCGGCTGTCGGATGTTTGCTTGACAGCCTGCAGCCGCAGTTTAAAGCAGGAGTGTGCTTTTTCCAGGGTTTACCGTGGGCTCTCCCTTCCCAAGGGTTTTTCTGTGTAACTATGGCTTTGCTTCTTACGCAGTACCCAGGAGGTAAGAAAGGAGAAGTGTTACATTTAAAGAACATTTAAAAGTGACTCTTCTGGGCCCGGGATTTAGCCCAGTGGTCCCGCCACCTGCCTTCCAAAAACAAGACTTCTTCCCAAGGTCAGGTGAGCGGCTCATTGATTGACTTACTGACGTTGGAGATAGGGCCTCCCCAGTTGCCCAGGCTGGTGGAGCCCCTGCCTCGAGCAGTCCTCCTGCTTCAGCCCCATGGGTGGTGGGACCGAGCGTCTTATGGATGTGCAGCCCTCCCGGGCCATCGTTTTCAGAGCAGTTGCAGACCGGGGGTTCCTGGGCTGGTGTGCGGAGAATGGCAGCTCCTGGCCGCCCGCCGACCTGTCCTCCGCCCGCTGACCTGTCTTCCGCCAGTGCGCCCGGGCCTGGGCTGAAGTCCTCCGAGCCTTGTCGCAGGCTCCGCAGTCGGCGAGGGTCCCAGCCAGCGCCACTGCGGCCCTGACACAGAGACCGCGCGTGGGCCTTCTGTGGGGCGCTGGCGCTGCCTGCCGGCCGGAGCCTGTACCACCTCTGACTCCTCCGTGGTTCCTAGATCTCGGCGTGTACCTGGGGATTCCTTCACTTTGGAGAGGCCTGAAGGAGGATGTGCTGTTCTGGGGCCAGAGCTGTTCCCAGCCTCTCCCTGGCAGGCTCATCGCCTGTGTCTCCCAGCTCCGCGCTGCAGCTCCGCTCGCCCTTCAGATTTGATGCAGGGTGCGTGGTTGAAGGCTTGCTCCTGTGGTCCTGTCGCTCACGCGTGCGGCGTCACTGCCTTGCACGCAGGACACCCTGGAGATGCTGTCAGCGTCCCCACTCCGCTCACTCGACGGGCCAGGCACACACGGCAGTGAGACACGGTTCAGTTTGCTTTTTAAAGCACATTTCCTTGGCGAATGAGACGGCCTACCTGCTGTCTGTGTGCCATCTCCCGTCTTGTCCCATACTCTGGACGATAGAATGACGGCGGTGTCTGGGTGTGCCCGGCCGAGTTACACGAGAGTGAGCTGCATGTGGCTGACGGGCAGCACCCCGCCTCACGCTCCGGCCTGCGGAGTCCTCTTCCCTCCGTGGTGGACAGCGGCTCGATGAGGACCTCACTTGCTCTGCAGCACTACCTTGTTGCTGACATCTCCCTAGTTGGCTTTTTTTGGGCAGGGTGCTCATTGAACTGCTGAACTGCCCAGGCTGGGCTTCAACTTGCAGTTGTCCTGCCTCAGCCGCCCAGAGTGCTGGGACTGCCGGGCTGGGCCACCACCCCGGGCTTCCTTTGCTGGCAGTAGTGAAGCAGTTGCCATCCTGGGAGGCCCATGTGGCGGAGAGTGGGGGGGTCTCTGGCCTTCCCCTGGCCACCCACACTCAGAAGCAGTAAAGCTCATTATTTTGTGCCACAGTTTATGGTAATTTAGGTACAGGAATAAGTAACAGTAGGCACTGCCTTAAAAATACACTCGAAAGTTAAAAAGCTCGAATCAGCCACATTGGCAAATACATGTAAAATAGTCCAGCAACCATTGACCTTTTTTTTGCTTAAATTCTTTTATCGGTACATTTTAGGTATACAGTGCGTTTACATTTATCATTGGGTGCTTGTACCGGTACATGATGCATCTTGGTTCTTATTTTTTCCCCATTCCCTGTGTGCCCTTCACCCCCTCCACCCCTCCCTGTTTACAAAGACTTTGTTTCCATTTTTTATTTTTCTCATAATTTTCCCCTTCCCTCCTTTCCTTTCCCCTCCCCCTCCCACTTCCCCTGCCCCTTTTTATGATTAATTCTCCTTTGGAACCGGGCCTGGTGATGCATGCCTATAACCCCAGCACTCTAGGAGGCTGAGGCAGGAGGATCACAGATTCAAGCCCACCCAGCCTGGGAAGCATCAATTACCAAGGTACTGTCTCACAATTTTAAAAACAGTCATAAAAGAGCTGGAGATGTAGCTCAGTGCAAATGCCTTGTGTTAAGTCCTAGTACCACAAAAACAAAACAACCACCTCACGCTTGGGCCAGGCTGTCATGGTGAGGACAGAATTGCCCAGCCCCTCACAGATGCCCTGTACCCAAGGGGAGGCCAGCCTGGGTGCTCTACAAGGACCTGCACCCGTGCCTAGAGTTTCACTTTGTTTTGTTTTTTTTGGTTTTTTGGTACCGGGGATCGAACTCAGGTCTTTGTGCTCGTGAGGCAGGTAGCGGAACCCCTGAGCTAAATCTTTACCTGGCCCTAGAGTTTCACTTTTAACATGTGAATCACCAGGAAATACTTGGGATACACAGGAATACTTTCCCCCTGGAACACCAGGGCTCCCGTGCACTAACTCTGCCAGCTGTGTTTGCGTCTTTCCTGATCCCACTGTTAACTGCTCTGCCTGAGCGGTCCCAGCTGGTAACCATGGCTGTCAGCACTGGACCTGGCCACCCCCGCGCCCCTGACAGAGGCCTGGGGTCTGCCCAGGGAGGTCGCTTCCTGGCACTTCCTGTCCTGCCAGGAGTGGCAGCATTGCACCTCCCGGAAGGGGAGACAGGGACCCTGAGACAGGTCACTCCGGGGGCCAGGAGGGTGACAGCAAGGCCGCTGACCTGTCCTTCAGCCTCAGCCGTCTTCTGCAGTGAGCACCGCGAGGGCACGGTGATTGGGGTGCAGCGTGTAGTGTGTGGCTGGGTGGCTGTCATCTCCCAAGGTGGCTCCTAGAGCACTGCAAAATGTGCCACACGAATCCTGCAGTTCATGAGCCACGGTGGGCAAAGGGGCGAGAGGAGTGGGCTGAACTCGGCCTCTTAGCGCTCTGGCATCGGCCTGGGTAAGGCCTGCTCCTCCCAAGTGAAGACACCCAACTGTAGGCAGGCATCCCAGGTCAGGAGGGCCGGCCGGGCAGCAGGCTCTGGAGGCTGAGACAGGCCCACAGTCTGGCCGTGTCCCCCAGGCTGCAGGCCAAGGCCGCTTTGCCCGGTTGCTCCCGGCTGTGGCTGAGTCCATCGTGGCAGGGGGCGTGGCAGAGAGGGGGCGGGGCCCCAGTGCCCGCACCTCCTCCAGGCCCCCCCACTGAAGGCTCCACCTCCTCAGCACCGCAGGCTGGGGACCATGCCTTGGTCCTCCGGGGCACCACCGTCCAAGCCATAGTGGTCTGACAGGCCTGCGGGTCGCGGGAGGTGGTGGGCTGCCCAGGTGGCTGCGAGTCCCTCAGACTTTGGCTAAGAGGTGTTCAGGTCTCCTCAGGACAGAGGAGAGAGGGGGCTTTGGACATCGTGGCCTGGAGCGTGGCTCGCCCAGCATGGGGTGGGGTCCCCTGCAGCACCCAGAGACCCACGGCACCGGGCCCCAGAGCGGACCGCGCCCAGCCTGGGTGTGCTGTTTGAACGGCAGCCTGTGCACACCACGGAAGCTTGTGCTTCGAGAGCAAGAGTCTCCCTCTCTCTGAGATGGGTTAGCACCGCCGGAGCTGGGCTGGGGACCGTCTCCTAGCAGACAGGTGTGCTCCGTAAAGAGGAGTGCGCTTCTGTGTGTCTGTCTGGACACCTTTGTCAGTGCTGGGACCTGAACCCCACCTCAGTCTCAGCCATCCCACTGAGCCGGGCTGGCAGTCATGACCCTCCCACCTCAGCCTCCTGAGGAGCTGGGAGCACAGGCATGGGCCAGTGCCTGGCTAAGTGATGTTTTAAAAAGAAAACGTAAATACAGGTGTTTGCTGAGAGATTCTAGAGTCTGAGCACCACTTCCCGCTGACAGGAAGCCCTCGGTGTGCTGCTGAGACAGGTGCTCACCACCAGGGCCTCCTCGGAGGCTTGAGGGAGTCCGGGTTGATTTCCCCAGAGTTCGGCCCCTGGAAGTGCTCATGGTGGCCCTACCGGACCACAGGGTTGTCTGTCTCCCCGATGCTGTGTGGACTTGATAGTAGCCTCTCGGGGTGGCACACAGGTGTGGCTCTTCGGGCTGTATTCCTGCTGGTGTCCACAGCAGATCCCTCGGGGCATTCGGGGCTGAGTTGCCTTCTGGCACTGCCAGGTGGGGATCGGGTGGGTGTCCTGGCAGTGCCTCCCTTGGCCCCAGGCAATGGCAGAAGCACAACCAGGCTCCGTGGTGGTCCCTGTGCTGCATCCCAGGTTGGTTTTCCCGTTTGCTCTTTCATATCAGCCTGGAAGCCACTACAAGGGCTGCAGGTCTCAGGTGTTTAAGTCTTTAGGCCTTGAGGAAGCCACTGTGCTCCTGGTATCTCAAGGTGATGGGTGGAGTCCCTCCCAGAGCCTGAACCCACTGTGAAGGCCAGTCGAAGATCGGGCAGAGGGCCCAAGGTAGGTGAGAGCCATGTGGCCAGCGGCGTGTGTAGTGCGTTCTTTTCAGTACTAGGGATCGAACCCAAGGCCTCACACTAAGCTACTAAGCCACACGCCTCACCCCATCTTTTCAGTCTCACGAAGTGGCCTGGGCTGGGCTTACATTTGCAGCCCTCCTGCCTCTGCCTCCCAAGGGCTGGGATTAAAGGCTTGCAGCCCCACACATGGTTCATAATCCTTTTGTAAGGGGAACCGCTGGTGCTGGGTGTCTGAATGTTCGGGGAAATGTGCCCATGGCCAGGCGTCTCCGGGACAGTGGTCCTGCCCTGTGGCTCTTCCTCCAGGTGCTCCTGTCACACAAGCCTTAGTGGGAGAAAAGACTGAGTCGGGCTGGAGCAGCTGTGCCCAGAGCTGGGGGCATCCTGATGTTCAGCCCCAGGGGGTTTGATGGCAGTAGGCAGAGCTGGACTGGGCTGGACCGCATGTATGGCTTTGTGCACCTGCTGCTGTTGCGGTGTCCACGCAGCCTGCCCTGCGGTGGCCGGTGCACTGGTGGGCCAGGCTTCCTGGCAGCACCGGTGCCCGTGCCCCTCGGCTGCTCCAGGAAAGGATGCCGCCACCCTGGCTCGCTCCTTCCCGCCATGGCCCTGGGGAGGCTGCGGTGGGACACTGCTCACAAAAGCCACCTGCAGGGTGGCCGCTGTCAGCATCCTGGGGTGTCAGGTCCGTTGGTCATGCTGCTTTGTGGCTGTGTGACCCACACAGTCGGTGCAGCCTGCGAGACTGGGTGGCCACAGGGGCCTTGAATGGGGTGGTAATTGCGTTCAAGGGAAAAGAGTGGAGAAAGACTTTCTCACCAGACCTGTGAAAGAGTGACAGCTAATATTTTAGAGCTGGAACAAGAGACTTGTGGTAAGAGATCTTTGTATATCTCGGCAAAGCATGGCCTGCTCACAATAGCTATTCAGACCGCATTCTGGGTTGTGAATGCCAGGTCGCCCTTTACACAGAGACTGTTCCTTTGACCATTCGAGCTGCTCAGCCCAGGCGTGCGCTGTCAAAGTGCGGACCACACGGCTGAAGGACAGGACGCCAGCGTTGCCTGAGCCCCGGGATGGCGTGGCTTTCCCGGTGAGCATGTCCCAGAAGGAAGCCTGCCCAGGGGAGTCCCCTTCCCAGATGGGACAGGTTAGCGCAAAACAGCACAGAAGCTGTGTGCAGCCACGGAGTGGAAAGAACAGTGACCCCTTTATCGGCATTGGGGTGGAACCTGCCGCAGAAGCTGTGATACAAAGCTCTCCAGGTCTCCTTGAGGCGAGACCCTGTGTCGCCCTGGGCCAGGCTGGCCGTGTGTGCGGCTTCAGGTGATGCTTCCCTGTGCAGAGGACACCGGCTGGCCCTCCTGCTGGGTCTGGACCTGTGGCAAAGGAGACCGAGCCCCAAGCATGCTGCAGACTGGCCGCCAAGTCTGCCTGCTGGCCTTGTGGTCTGGCTTTGTGGTCCTGTCTCTGTCCCTCAGTTCCTTTCTTTCCTCTTCTCTCTCAGAGCTGGTGTCTCTAAAGTTCCTGCTGACAGGACCCATGCAAGTGTCAAAAGCACACAGATTCATTGAGCACGAGCAGACTGCAGTGCCCTCTGCAACTTTTACAAGCTTTCATGTCCCGGTTTATAGACATAAAACTCTGGGGCTCCACTTACACCTCTCCCAGCGCTCGGAGAGGAAGGGGCTTTGCAGGCGGAAGAACCCATTCTTCCAGACAGTAAGGAGCTGTCTGCTTCTGCTCTTGGGCAAGAAGGCCCAGAGGAGCTGGCCTCGCCCACCAGAGCCCATCCCATCCCCATGACGGCCGAGCGCTCAGGTCTCTGACCTTCCAGGCCAGAGTCAGGTCTCCACACAGACGCTAGGTCTCCCTATGCCCTGCCTCAGTACAGAACTGCAGAGGAGACCAAAGGAAAGGGCAGACTCCGCAGTATCGCACTCAGCCCACGGGGCTCCTGCCTGTGGCCTTCGCTGTCAGCCCCATGGGGCCCAGTCCACCCATGCCCTGGGCCTGCAGCAGCCCAGGCAGGGGTCCAGGCATTGGGTGGGCAGGGCCGTGCCTGCTGTCCCCTGGCTCAGCCGTGCCTGGCTCTTGCTGTCTGCAGCTCAGCAGGTAAGAGAATGGGGAGCCAGTGTCTGGGACAGCACCTGCCTCCCCATGACTTCCGCCTAGACTCCCGTGAGGTGCACAGACTCCACGCAGGCGGCCACTCAGCCGTGTGTCACAGCTGAGTCACTCAGAGAAGTGTGAGTGGGTCTGTGCCTTGACATAAATCTAAGCTTGAAACCGCATCAAGGCCAGGCCGTTACGAATGCACAGCTTCCCTTTCCCGGAAGTCAGGCAGACAGCACAGGGGCAGCGGTGGGGAGAGGAGCTATTGTCCTGGAGACGCCTTCAGGAGAGCAGCTTCATCTCCAGGCGCAGGCTGACAGCCGATCTCATCTTTCCTCCCTGGGCTGGGCTGGGAGGGCTTTGCTTTATTTCCACAGCTTTAGTAGTATACACAGTTGGCACAAGGTGGCTGCACTTACAATTTGACGAGTTCTGCGTGTGTCCGAGTGCAGTCATAAAGCGTCACCGTGGCCAGGTCCTGAGCATGGCCAGGAGCCACAGTGAGCCATACCGTGACCATGGCCAGTTTGGGGAAACAAAGGGGGCGATTTTACGAGCAGCAGAAACACCTGAGCGAAGTGCACGGCGTGTGAAGAGCGACGCTGACACCGCCAGCCACCAGGGAAACGCGGTCAGTTATGTCAGAAACCCAGATTATAACAAATGTGGCCAGGTGTGGAGAGAACAGAACCCGTGGATGGTACTGGGCGGACGGTAAGTGTTGCAGCTGCTTTGGACACAGCCTGGCAGTTCTTCAAGACGTTAAACATCGATTCACCCAGTGACTGAGCCATTCCCCCGCTACGTGCATCCCCGGGAAGGTGGAAACAGCCCTGTGGCCCCGAGCTGATGAGGGGACCCACAGGCCCCGACCCACACAGTGGGTCATAAAGGGCAGTGAACAGGAAGCAGGCACGGATACCCGGGCAATGCAGGAGGGCTTTGAAAGCGTGCCAGGCAAAGCATCCAATCACGAATGCACACGTAATCCGATTCCATCAAAGAAAAAAGTCCAGAGAGGGTGAACCCGCAGAGAGTCCATTCGTGGTTACTGGGTGTGAGGAGGGAAGCAGTAACCAAAGGGTGAGGATTTCCTTCTGGGGTGATGCAAACATTCTAAAGCTGATGGTAACATCGATGGTGCCCAGCTCTATGAAGACAGCAGAAGCCACTGGTAAAAGCCAAGCCTTCGCTGGGCGAGCTGCAGGGCTGAGACAGGAGCCCCGGCTCCCGCTTCTCACTGTGCGGTGGAGGGGCAGCTGGGCTGGCGGCTTGCCGCCCCCCCCCCCCCTGCCCCGCTTCCCTTTGCCCTCCTCCAGTGCAGGAGAGTTTGGTCAGGGTTCTCCCTTCGGTCAGGCTTCCTCTCACTGCAGTGTGACAGCACTGGGGCGCCCTGGCTCATGCCTTCTGGGAGGAGGAAGGGGGCACCCTGGTGGTCTGAGCCAGGGAGGGAGGGCTGGCAACCCCACACACCTTCCACAAGATTCCCTGGCTTCAGCCCCGCCTGCACTGCCTCAGCAGCACTTCCTGCCCTCCTCACGTTGCTCTAGAGGCTGCCTGCTGTGCGTACACACACCCCGCGGGCCCTGTCAAAGACTCACCTTGGTGTTCCATAAACCTGCTCGTTTTTCCTCAGGTAACGTGGGCTCCAAAGGTCCAGTGATCTACTCAGAATTTTATCCTGAGCAGTGTGGACAGAGCAGTCATTCAGAGCAGTTAAATCTGAAGCGCTGCAGAGGCCAGCACCCACCAAAGACCGGCAGCAGAGACAGCACCCAGTGTCCGGCAGAAGTCAGCCTGGGGATGACGCTCGGCAGTGACAGAGACCGGCAGCCCGCTGTGTCACTGGCTGGCACCCAGCACTATCCAGTGTGACTTGCGGACGATAGGAGCTGCACTTGGCCAGTTCATGACTCTGTCTGCGTGGAGCAGAGAAGCCTGGGCTGAGGGCCACATCGTGTGTAGCTTGTGTCCCAGGCAGAAGCAGCGGCGGCACTGACCACTCCCCACATGGGCGTCCTGCGCTGTCTCTCGGGGTGCCTGTCCCGATACACTGTCACTTTGACAGCTGCTCCCATGTCCCGCCACTTCACCAGTGAGGGCAGAACCAGGTATTTCAAACAGTGTAACTGACACACACAAGGTGCAGGTCCTGAGGCGAAGTGGAACACCATGCACACCCCGATTCCAACAGGGCAGAGCTGCCTCCGCCTCTCTGCTCCTCCACCCAGACTACCGCATTTCTTCATGGCGATTGCTTTGCATTGTAGAGTTCTGTATTAAGTAGGATCCCACAGCGCCTACCCTCTCATCTGGGTTTGCCATTTAGCACAGGTGTTTTGAGGTTTGTGCATGTTGCCTCTCTCAGTGACTCAGGTTTTACTGCTGAGAGGTGCATCATTGGACTGACACACCAGTTTGTTCATCTACTCATTTATTGGCCAGTGTTTGGTTGTTTACAGTGTGGGGCTGTTACAGATCCAGTAGCCGTGGACATTTGTGTTCAAGTCTCGTGTGGGTATCTATCTTCTTTTCTCTTGGGAAGTGCCCATGAGTGGCCTGACTGCACCATTTGCTGGTGAAGCTTGGTGGTGAGCATTTCCCCACCACCTGCGAAGTCCTGGGTCCCATCCCTAGCACTGCAGAAAAGCACCGGAGAGGTCATCAGACTGTTCGACACCTGGCAGCGTCCGAGAGCACAGGACCCGAACTCACTCGCCCGGCTGTCCCATGAAGAGGACCGTAACACTGATCACGCCAAGGCAGGCTGTGCAGTTAGCCCCACAACTGGCTTGTTTATAGAACTGAGTCTGGCTGAAGCCTACGTGCCGAGGTCAGGGTAACTCGCACCCGAATTCCATTCCCACAACCAAAGCCTTCTGACTAGGACAGTGTACTAATTACAACCATATATTTTGTCTATTCTGCGCCTAATTTGAGACTGCTTTGTCTTGTCCTTTAAGAGCCTTGTTTACATTAATTTCCATAGAAACCACACATCGCCTTCACCCCAGTTGATTGCCAATAAAAGTCAGTGCTGGGCCTGGCCAGGCCTTTGTCGGTTGCACCGGCATTGGTGGTCCTGGAAGCCCGCTTTCTCTCTCTCAGTTCTGTCTCTCAGTGCATTCTTTTTCTCAGGCTTGCGCCACACACTGGCCAGGCGGGTACTGGAACCTGACTGCAGGGGTCTCTGGCTGTCTCAGTCTCTGAGAGCAGGCAGCGCTGGGCTGGATTGGCTGGCGATGCCCGAGCCTGGGTCTGAGAAGAGGCCGCTGCTCCTTCCCAGGGTCTTCCCTGCGGCTTCAGGGGCAACTTCTGCTATGTAAACAGATGAGCCAGTAGCAAATGAAACGGAGTTAAGGTGAGAAATTCACATCTGATAGGATGATTTGAAGTTTTCCATTAACATCACCTTCCCTTTACGTCTTTACACTTAACACAAATAATGTCCTGACCTTATGTCTGCACAGAGCTCTGCCGGGTCCCCTCTGGGCTGGGGGTGGACACAGGAAGCCAGATGGGGGCTTCTGGAGGGCAGGGTGGGTCGGTGGCTGCGGGCCTGTGTGCCACACTGGGCTGAGGGCCAGAGGGGAAAGTTACACACAGTTCCTGTTTTCACCATTTACTGGGGAGGCCGAAGCTGACAATAAAACAAACAGAAGTAGATGCACATGAAAGTAATTGTTATGGAAGAGCATTTGGATAAGACATGAAAGAGGAGCTAGACAGGACGCCATTATAATAGGATGCTCATGTAATTTACTTTCCAAACTGGAATGACTTTTTGAAAACTTTGTATTTGAGATAATTGTAGAGTTGCACAGTTGCAGAACTGGCCATGAGTGCTCCAGGGAGCCTCAGTTTCCCCCGGGAGCATCTTGCATTCCTGTGACCTGGCACAGTGGCTGCCCCTTGGTGACACAAAGCCATTAAGCACAGCCAGGAGACAGGAGAGTGCAGACAGGGGTGTGGCTGCTGTCGGCAAGGAGACCAGGAGGACAGCTCCCACCCAACAGCTGCCACAGGGCGCTCAGGATGGCGCTCGCTGGGCAGCACAGGTGCAGCGGGCTCCACCCTGGGCCTGCTGGGCTCTCGCCAGGGGTGGACAGGGTGCCTCTGAGGAGAGCGGGGTCTCATGGGCAGTGCAGAGGGGCTGTCGGCCATCCGATACAGACACAGTGGAAGCCATGCCAGCCGCCAGCCACATCCTCCACAGGTGTGCCTGGGCAGACGGACAAAGAGCCCCGTGACATGAAGAAAAACACGCACTGAGGTGTCTTGCAAGCTGAGTTTATGTCAGTTACTAGCTTACACTTCAGATTTCTAAAAAACCTGCATTTCTGGCTCTGTCTTCTGAAAATGCCCATCACTAGCAGTGATGCCCTAGAGGGAACGGAGATGGCACTGAGACAGCTCCTGTGCATCTACGACACAGGGCATTGCTGTCATTTTAACTGTGTTATATTAAACAACAAATCAAGACAATTAGAACCTGGGCCGGGGATTTAGCTCAGTGTTTCCGCTGCCTGCCTCGCAAGCACAAGGACCCAAGTTCGATCCCCAGTACCGAAAGAAAAAAAAAAGAAAAGAAAATTAGAACCCAATGCTAATGTTTAAGAGTCATGTGTCTATGATATCTGAGCTAATCTGTAATGATTTCAGATTAGCCAAAGTGACTAATTCAAGGCTCAGCACGCATTCTGTTTTATTGTTCATAATGATTAATTAATCACCAAATTTCAACTGCATTTTTGTTACAAGGCTGCAGACTTTTAGAGTAATGCTCTCTACTGCACCAGCTGAATCCACGTTGACTATGGACAGGACAGTTTCGCTGGGGCTGAATTAATATGGACATTATGTATTTACTTCCCTGAGAAGAGTGAGTGATTAGTGTGCAACAGCAATTTCTAACTATTAAGTCAAATTAAAACCAGAAAGATATAGCAATGGAAATAAAAATATCAAGACGATATAACTGACTAAACAACTAGAAGCCCTCTGCCTAGCATCATACTTAAAAGTAAACTTCAGATGGAGTAAAATTTTTAAAGTAAAAAATGAAAGTATAACGTTAGAAGAAAATGTCTAACTTTGAATGTGTGAGAACTTCTTAAGCAGGAAGGAATCCCAAAGTTTATAAAGGAAAAGGCAGATTGTTTCACTGTGATAAAATATACATAACACTTATGACCCTTAGCTGCATGTGAATGAGCATAGAGGTCATGGCCCCAAGAGACCTATTTCAACACAAAATTTAAATGCTGCACAGCAAAAGACACAACAAGCAAAGGGGAGAGTTACTAACATGTTGTGTAACACTTTGCCACTCGATATTTCTAGCACACAAAATTCTATAAATTGGTAAAGAGAGTCCTGTAGAATAGTAGATGAAAGAACATGAACAAGCATTTCACACATGCACACAGGTGGCTATGTAATTGTGGAGGATTAACTAGTGGTCAACTTGGAACGCCCAGCTGAACTGAGTCAGCGTGGGTGGGCATGGAAGACCCACCTGAGGATTGTTGCCAATGGCACAAAAACAGAACTGGAGGGGAAGGTCGGGGCTGTTGGTGTTCGAGGAGAAGCTTGCTGCGGACGGTTTTCCTGATGTGAACTCGGCTGTCCTCACTGGAGAAGGGGCTCGGGGCCTCGCTGTCATTGGGAACGGCTGCTGTTCTCATTAGGGGGCTCTGGTCTTCAGCATGAGCATCACTTCCTGGCTCCAATGTGGACCCCTCACCTGGTGGCACAAATCCTTCACCTCACAGGCACAGGTTTTCTGGCTTCCACCCCTGGCCTTTGGGCCTTCTGGGTGCAGATCCTCAATGTGGACAAGCATGGGACCCTGCCGTGAGCCCTAGGCCTCTGGCTGGACTTGTGGAGGACACTGCTGTGGGATCCAGGCCCTTGGCTGGATTCTTTGGGTCTCTAGTGTGTGGCTGTTCTCTTGCTCTCCTCCATATTTGACTTTTTGGGTAAGTATCATAAAATAATCCTATAAATTGTGTCCTATATTAAATGTATTCCCTTGCCAAAACCCTGACTACAACAGTAACAGAGATGTGAGCGCTAGAAAGAAGACAGCAGAGACTTGCACCGGGCCGGAGGTCAGTGCCTCAGAGCGGGCAAAGACCAAGACTCGGGGCTGGCCAGCGTTCACCAGGGACACGCATCCACTGGAGGGCGCCCCGGGGCTTGGGGGCGGTGCTCTCATGCTGCTGGGGGCGGGAAGGAGGGTGCTGCCACAGCAGGACGGGGGTGAGCCGGCCCAGGTGAAGCCTCTCACTTCTGCCCCACCACTGGGCTCGCAAGGAACCAGGACGTCTTCAGCAGGGGCCACTGCGCCGCTGAGGCCTCAGCTGTGACCAGAAGCAAACGGGGCTGTTTCCGCGCGTACAGCTCAAGTGCAAGGCAGCAACGGCCCTTAGCTGTCTTTTTTTTTTCCGGTACCCGGAATCAAACTCAGGGCCTTGCACTTGCCAGGCAGGTGCAGCGCCACTGAGCTACATCCCAGCGAGACAGCTACAGTCTTACCTTAATCATGAAATGATTTTTCCCAAACACGTATGCAGAGCGGCGCTGCTAGAGGGTGCCGTCCGACCGCGCCTGCTCAGTCAGCTCGCCCCTCGTCTGTGCGAATCACCCTCCGTCTTGCCTGAGGGCGGAGGGGGGGGTTCCGTTTTCCACGCACGCGCCTGGGCGTCCTCCTGCACACCTCCACGCACCGGCGAGGGCTCTCCTCCGCGGGCATCAGGGAGACTCTGGGTGGGGCTGCGCTCCGATCGCTGCTTTTCCGAGCACAGCCCGCTGAGCTACATTTGCTGGCTGTCCGTGTGCGCTGTCCCCACCTCCCTGCCACCAACTGCGGCCCCTTTTTGTGCAATGTCCGCGCGCACCACGGGCCGGGGACAGTGAGGGCCTGGGGCTCAGTGGTTCAGGATGTGGAGGGTCTGCGGCCAAGCCACCTGGGGATGCCGGGCCAGGCGGGGGCTCATCCCCTGCCCACCATGGGGAACACGCGACAGTTGCCCCACCCCCACCCCCGCCCAGACAACAGGCGAGGATACCACAACTCATGCTCTTTCCTCTGTAATCAGACAGGAGACAACGCCGAGCAAGCAGGAAGCGCCTCTCGTCAGTGCATCAGGACGCCTCTGCTGGCAAAGTTCTGAAACACATAAAAGGACAATAAAACCGAGCAACTGCATTGCTGTACCTAATAACATAGAGGCAACCTAGCTTATTTTGCAAAAAACCCCAATGCTTCTGGTTGTGGTCTTTCCCGGAAAGAAACTGCAGTATTATAAGACAGATTTTTTTCCTTTGTCTCCTGTTTTTAGATGCAACAGCAATTCACTGAAGTCTATCAGTAAATGGGGCAGAGCTTCGATCTCAGAAACAAAAGGGAAAGCAGATTAATGTTTTATATAAAAAGGAAATAAAGTATGGGAAGCAATACCAGAATGAAATTTTTTTCCCTGTAAAACCAAACCAGTTATGTGCTTTGCCCATTGATGGTTGCACAGAACCCTCTAACACTCAGTGCCATAGAGTAACTGCTGTGTTTTATGCCCACTGTTGTGGGCCAGGAATCTGGGGACATGTGAGTGGCCTAGTGGCCTCTGACCCCCTGTGCCAGCCGGGGACCAGGCCAGGACCCCCTGTCTCTGAGGCACTTCCAGGAGATTCGAGGTCCTTCCTCTGGAGCAGAGCCTTGAGGCAGCTCAGGGCCGGCTGCACCTGCACAGCATCACAGCCACCGATTCCAAGCTGGGAAACAGGTTCCAGGCCAGAAGGGGCACAGCGAGCTCCCAGAGAGAAGCAGGGAGACAGCGGGTGCTGCTGTGGCCAATGTTAGAAGACAAGCTCAGCCGCGTGGTGAGATGATTTTTCCACCCATCCATCCACCCATAGGGACTGGGGATTGAGCACAGGGCCTCTGCACAGAGCTATATCCCAGCACTGTTTAAATTTTGAGATGGGGCCTCACTAAGATGCCAAGGCTGGGCTTGAACTTGTGATCCCCCTGAGTCAGCCTCCCAAGAGTGCTGAGATTACAGGTGTGCACCATTGCACCTGGCTAATTTTTCCATTTTATTTATTTATTTATTTATTTTTTTGGTATGGGGGATCAAATTCGGGACCTTGTGCTAAACCCCCAGCCCCCAAGGATTTCTCTTTATTTTTACTTAATTTTCTTTGTGTAACTTCCTTTTGAAAATGGAAAAGTCAAGTAACAACTGGTAACTACCCAGAGAAAAATTATAATTTATATAACTCTGCAGCCCACACTCACTTTCCCCTTGCATAAGCACTGTGTCATCCTCATGCTGCAGAACGTGACCCACAGATGCAGACCTGGGGTCTCAGCATCCACCCAGGCATCACTCTGGGCACAGACGACCCATCCTCAGGACTTCGAAAACCACACAGCTGGGCGGGGCTGGGTCACTCAGCTCACCACAAGGCTGGGTCCCACAGAGCTCCTGGCTGCTCGGCCCACAGCTGCAGGCTCCCGTTCTGCTCTCCGATGTGGCAAACGGTGGCCCCTGCAGGGAACCAAAGTCTGGCGCTGGACCATCCTGTGAGCAGAGCAGCCTGCTGGTGATGAACAGGAAGAAACTCCTGCTGTTGTAAGCACTGGCTTCTACTTTTCCATCTGTCCTGCTTCTCCCCTTCGGATGGACCAGGACATCCTCCTGTGTTCGGCTCCGCTGATGGGCAGCAGGTCGGGGACTTTGGCACTGCCCTCATGTGTATGTGTAGATACACAGATGCGTGCACACTGACACTCTATGTCACAGCACAGACTCCCGAGGGCCAATTCTAACTTCTAGCAGGGACTTTCAGATGGCATCCTCCAGGCCCTCCTCCAGGCCCTCCTCCAGGCCAGGTAAGGGCGCTGTGCTCGTTTTAACTTTCAGCAGATTTGATGAGTAAGCAAACTGTCTCATCGGGAGTCCAATTTGCATGCCCACACCAGTGTCCCCAACTCATGGTCAGCAGCACCAAAAGGACCTGAGGCCATTTCAACTTTTGTCAGTCTGATGGGGTAAAAGTGGCATTTCATTACTGCTTCAATTTGCATTCTGTCAACTAATTTCACATCTCTGTTACTGTTGTAGTCAGGGTTTTGGCAAGGGAATACATTTAATATAGGACACAATTTATAGGATTATTTTATGATACTTACCCAAAAAGTCAAATATGGAGGAGAGCAAGAGAACAGCCACACACTAGAGACCCAAAGAATCCAGCCAAGGGCCTGGATCCCACAGCAGTGTCTTCCACAAGTCCAGCCAGAGGCCTAGGGCTCACGGCAGGGTCCCATGCTTGTCCACATTGAGGATCTGCACCCGGAAGGCCCAAAGGCCAGGGGTGGAAGCCAGAAAACCTGTGCCTGTGGGGTGAAGGATTTGTGCCACCAGGTGAGGGGTCCACATTGGAGCCAGGAAGTGATGCTAGGCAGTGAAAAGGAGGAGGGACTTGTGGAGGACGGCAGCCACCGACTGGACCAGGAGAGCCGGCTTCCATGTGAGCACGGTGGTGGTGCCTGGGCAGCCCTCCCTGCACTCGCAGGACAGGCAGTGGCGGCTGCTGCCTCTCGGGTGGGGCCACTATGTGGATCTCGACAAAAGGCATGGCAGCAGGGGCCTGCAGAGGCCACACGGCCACCAGCCTTGGCGCCCTAGTCCCCTGGCGTTGGGCTGAAGTCTGAGAGGTGGCAGCCCCAATGCCGAGGTGAGTTTCCCACGCTGCAGGACGCAAGGTCAGGGGCAGAAGTTACACCGAGTTTAGACAACAGACCTGCCTTTCTTACTTTCTGGTGTGGGGCCCAAGGGTCAGATTCCTACCCCACCCATGCTGGTCCTGAGAAGAACGCCATGATGCTCTGGGAAAACACGCTCACAGCGGGGCGTGGCTGGAGGGTGAGTCCTGTTGCCCTCTCTGCCACACAGAGACATGGAAGGCTCCACTCTGTAGAACTGGCCGGCCCGGCCCGGCCCTGCCCCGACCTGCGGGCACTCTGACCTTGGCCTTCCTGCTTCCAGGCCGTGTGCAGCACCGTCTGTGGTGTGAGCCAGCTGGTCTCCCCTGCGTCGTTACAGCAGCACGAGCGAGCTGAGCCTGGGCTGGTGCACACCCCTTGCAGCAGTAGCACTGCTGTATGATACGTCCACGGCTGTTCACACCGGCTGGCTCTTCACTGTTTCTGGCACATGCAGCATTTAATCTCATCATCACTGTCTGAGTAACAGCCAGCGTAGTCAGCTTTAAACAGGACAGGTGGTTCTGGAGTCTCCTGGCCCGAACTGGACAGGTGTCCAGGCCCCAGGCCTCAGGTGTAAGCCAGCTTTCCCACAGTGGCAAAACCTGTGTAATCGACTCACAAGGAGAGGGAGTTATCTTGGCTCATGGCTTCTGAGGTCTCAGGCACGGCCACTGGAGCCCACAGGCTTGGGCAGCGTGGGCCATGGTAGAGAGTGTGGTACAGGAGACTGCTCACCTCACATGACCTACAGAGGGTGACGGCCACCTCTGGGCCTCTGTGGCTGGCAGCAACGGGATTCTGGGGACACAGACCCACCGTGGTGCGGCTTGCAGGGTGACAGTCACTGGGAGCCTGGCCTTGCTTGTAAGGAAGTGAACAGGACCAGAGGCAGCTAATGATTGTGGCCAGACACTGTGCTGAGCTGGAGCTCCTGCCAGTCTATGTCTCGACCAGAAAGCAAAACCTCTGAGGTTCTGTACCCAACTGCCAGTCACCTCAGTCACTGCAGAGAGCGGAGAGCAAGCCCTGAGGCCCAAGGTGAGGCTGGCAACCCGAGTGGTTCTCAGGCCCCAGGGTGTCAGAGGGCAGACCTGGGCCACTGCAGACAGAGGAGCTGCAGGAGCCTTGGGCTGTTGGTAACCCAGGGTGTTCAGTGCTGGTGAATGGGCTGAAGAAGGGACCTTTCCTGTATTTTTTAACTAACGTATTCAGGCCACTCACAAATGGGCTTGGGTGGAACTCTCTGAGGTTGTGCTTTTTCTTTTTCCTTCGCCCCTTCCTCAGGAGAGAGCAGGCACTGGTTTTTTCTGGAGGTGGGGGTGGGATTAGTTTTGCCCAAGGGAAGTACGGCAGCAAGGCCGGGCAGAATTCCAGACCCAGAGCAGTGGGGGTGTCGGGGGTCTGGGCAGTGGCTGTGGGCAGAGGTGACCATCGCAGGGTCCCTGGGGCAGGACGTGGTATGGCCATCACAGACTAAATGCTGAGGCAGAAGGAGCGAGGTCACGGGAGCACAGGGGCACTGGGGGCACAGGGACAGCCCCTCACACTCCATCTCCCTATTTCTTCTGCTGTCTCTGTTTAAACTAAAGGGCACGAAGAGCAGGGCAGGTCATGTGGACAGCTTAAGCTCCACCTGAGTGAGACATGACTGCAAGATCATGTTCTCTGATGCACATTTCATTGTGAGGCCAGTTGGGCCTCAGATTCTTTTTTTCTGTGGTGATGGAAGCTCATGTCTGCCTTTTCTGTTTTTGTCTCCTTGGATGACTGACCAGAGCCTTCTACACAATGAAAACATTTGCTCCTTTCTTACTCCTTGAAGTCAATTTCAGTTGCTTTCTGCCCAGTGTAGTGAGTCAACCTCAACATTGTTTACTTGTTTCCCCAACACTAGGCTCTGTTTATCCCTTAGTATCAGGCCCTGTTCTTCGTAGTGGGGACAAAAATTCTCCTCTAGACTGATAAATCAAAGCTCTGGTTCCTAAGCCTTTGTCTGGGCTCTAGGGCCCCAAGGAGTCGATTGTTGAAGTGAAGCTTGCTTCACAGATGCAAACCTCAGTACCACAGCTCTCCACTGCTGTGATGAGCACGTGCATGTGTCTGCACCTGAGTGTGTGTGCATGAGTGTGCACATGACTGTGGAGGACAGAATAGAAAACTAGCGATGGCGCCCCCCATCTCTCTTTTCTAGAAATAGAAATAGAGATTTGCAGTTTCTAGTTAAAAATTAGAAAAGACAAAAAAAGGCAATTCAAGATTCAGACTCATCACAGATGGTAAAATTGAGGTTATAATTTTAAAATTCAGCCTTCAACTTAAAAGGAGTTAAATCATATGAAAGGAAATTACGCACAGGAAGTAGAACAAATGATTTTATGGATTTGGAAAAAAAAGTTTTC